TATATATATATATATAGGCCTATATGAAGCTATTCACAACCGATGTAGACTCCCAGGCCTAAATAGTCAATATACATTTTTCTTTCGCTATACGCATCAATGATCAATGACAGCGATCATGTACAGTGTGGAAAGAATATAACAGGACCGGTAATAACTGGATTTTAAAAAATCTCCGGTTTTTTGTTCTTTCTCATTACCGTACCTCTATTAGATTGTATTGGCAAATTAGAGCCTAATTAAGCTTATTACAGGGATACAGAGACTCCTTCAAACACCTTTTTTTAAAATTACCGGTATGCAGTCATGAATTCTTTATCTTCTACAGCCAACACATGGCCTAGATTATTGGTCTGTTTAGCAAATGGCATAAATGGTGAAGAGAAGGGGAATGGGAGCAGGTTGGCTAGTTACCCAGGATTGAACAAAGAGTCAGTTTACCTCCTTGAGAACGCGCAAGCAACGCATACAGGTGCTGTTTTGGGGCATAACTTCATAACACAAGCAGATGTTTTGATTTTGTTTTCTTCATGTATCTGAAACTTTAAAAAGCGTGCAATTGCGCAACAGCATGCGTGCTATTGAATATGCAAAACTCTTGTTTCTGATTGTGTATGCTGGTTTGAAATGTGTCAAAGTGTTGTCTTTGCTGTACTGCTTATCAGACGTCGGCCATGTATCCGTTACGTCCTCAAAGAGTTACATGAAAAAGCCTGACAATAGAATTAGCCCCGCGCGCAGAGCATCGTGTCCCGGCCTGTGGATAACAACGAGCACACGAATAAAAAATGCTGGATTTGTTCAAGTCCCTTGCATATTTCTGAGATTCTGATTGAACAGGGATCTGTTATAACAGGGTTTTTTCTCTGGTCCCAGGATCCCTGTACTACTACTACTAGATCTAGAATCTAGTATACATCATGTACTATTACATGTATTATAGGCAAGCAAGGAGTTTAGAACTACTGCACTGAAAACTCCTTGATTATAAGCCTACTACTAGATCTACAATACTGTTGCTGCAACCGCTGCAGATGCTGTTAGAGATGTGGCTGCTATCTTTATTATTTTGCTGTTGTTTTTGCAGCTGCAGTTGTTAGTGCAAATTACACTGAGTTTGCTGAAGTGAAGCCTTTAGTGTGATAGTGTTGTTGAAAAATGAATAAAATATAAAATTAATAAAGGCTACAGTCATTAATTAAAATTTGTTATCCCAAAGCCAAAGCATAACATTATTACATTCGCTGGTAATATAGAAAAATCTGGGCATCCAACATCGGTAACATTGTAAAACTAGGCTAGAATTCAAATGATGTGAAACGAACTTTTTTTTAGACTATCACAGCCAGCAGTCTATCATCAGAAGCCTTGTGAAGGTGAGAAAGGAAGCCTGTCAAAACATTGTTATTTAGTAGACTAGATCTACGTCTAGTTATCTTTCAGTGTATAAAGTGAATGTTGTAAATTCCAAGACTCGAGGCAGGCTCTACTAGTCTAGATCTAGATATATATCTAAATTCTAGATCTAGATCTAGAATCTAGATCTAGATATGTTGTCTTTGATTTTGAATGATACACGGCCAGGGAAGACGTTAGGGTGGTTAGTGTTGTTGAATTTTTAGATATAATGAGAAGGTGTGCAAATCCCAGTCCTTCTTTTCTTTTTTTTTTTTTCAGTTACAGAAACTTCCAACTTCAGCCACTTTTTATTAAAATTTCCGTCCCATTAATTGTTTGAATTACTCAGGATGTTATGTTATGCTTTGCCACTGTCCTTGCCTGGATCTGGGAGAAATTTCACATGATCCACCCACAGATGCGATTAAACGTAGAAAGACGCAAACTATTTTTAGGTAAGGCGCCCATCTTGTTTGACGTCAGACCAGGATACCCCTCCAATCACGTGACTACATCTATCTAAGTCCTAAGTATAGCCAACCGCATGGCACCAAAGATGGAAGTGTCTATGTACTATGTATATCTATTCTTAATCTACACCTCTCTCTCGGAAGTTCTGATGGCTGAATAGAAAGCGCGTCTGCGTTTGAAGTCGCACCTTGATTTTTGTAGCGGTTTGATCCCGGTCCCGGACAGTTGTTTTTTTTCTCTTCTCCTCCTCCCGACTGACCAACAGTCCCATAAATTATAGGCCTAATTTGTAGAGTTGCTTTGAAGTTGTTGTTTAAAAAAAAATAGGTTATATAATTAGTGATTAAAAATGCAGGGGGGGGGTGGTAGATCTAGATCCTGATCTAGTCCTCCTGCGTCTTTACGGCAATTTTCGTGCGGTCTTCCATCATGTCCAAGTAGGCCTACTTTCTAGATCTAGATCTTCTAGATCTAGGAAATCTGAAATGTTACTGAAAACATGTCTGTCCATGTAGGTATCCCAGGAAGTGATGACACCTCAGTACTAAAATTAGCAGCCAATCAGAAAGATGCGTCTTTTCTACGTTTAACGGCATGTTCCACCCACTCTGGACTAGAATCTAGATCTAGATCTAGATTTTAGATTGACTAGATCGATCTAAATCTATATATATAGAATCTAATCTAGATCTAGTATTGAAAGTCACTAAAACTAAAACAAGTGTAGGAGTACTGTTACGGGCAAGGAAGAGAGACCCTTCGGATGCTTCCGAAGTTTTCCACTTCCTCATCACCTCAACCCTGTCAACTAGACAGTTGACGTCGCCTTTTTAAGTCTCCTTTGATAGTGACCACACATAGTCAAAGGTCATTGCTCTGTCTTCGTCTGAACGAGAATTGCTCCCCAACCCTTTGCAGGTACGGTTGCAAGGTTCCAGAAGTTGGCGTGCGGGTCGTTGGGGGCCCTTGAAAGAGACATAACTTTGCCCCAACTTTCTGAGAAAATTTGCTCCTGTGCCAATTTTTAACGCCTTTTTATCCCTGGTTTTGGGGTCAGGGTAGTTATTCTTCTTCGGCAGGAGCAACTTCTGCAGTTGGCGCGTGTCATTAGGAGACTGTTGTCAGTACCCTGATGCCCGCTGCAGAGATGACCGTGTCAACAACTGATACTGATGAGTCATTGGATGAGTCCATAGAGCCAATGTCTGACACAAGAAGGGCAGTGTCACTAAATTATGATGCTGAGGGGATGTCGGCTGTGTCACTAGGTGATGCAAAGGGAATATAGTGCCAACAACTGGAGCCGAGTAACGTCAGTTGTGACATCAGCATGATCAACTGAAACTACAGGGATGTCACACTACAACGTTGGAAACGAAAGGGCAGGACAAGAAGTCAGCGCCTGGAGCTCTCCAGTAGTGGTTGAAGTTAGTTGAGTTGGGTGAAATGTCGTCACTGGCGATTTTTTTCGTGGCGTTGAAAAGTAACCAATGGAAAACCAGACTTCTCAAAGCATGGCACAGAAATATCTAATTATGATGTCTCGTGCAAGAAAACATTGCCCACTATATCTTCTATGGCACTCCCTGATATTTCAGTGGCGATGATTTGGAGGAAGACTTCTCTCCTTGGCGATCAGCACATTTGTCAGATTTTGAAAGTGAACAACTGACTAAACGTTGGCCCTAGCTGACGGGAAACATTATAGCGAAGAATAAAACAAATGCACCTTTCACTAGACAATAATGTTTTGAGTGACCACTTGAGTTTTCCCTATCTATACGGATCCAGACCTGTCTTATACAGCATCACGTTAAAAGCCTTTAGGCGTTCGGCAAAACGTGTTGTTTCGGTGGTTGCCAGGAAGAACAATTTTGGAAATCTAACATGTTTAGACGTTGACCTATGATTGGTGTACGCAAACAGAAAGGCTGTATTCCATGTCCATACACAGGTTTAGATCTTCTAAAGTTTTATGGGGCATGGTATTTTAGTTTTGATGCTTTGAAATGTTCATGCTCCTTGCAATGTATTATATTGACTTTGATGTTAGGGGAAAAGGCCGAGTTCAGTTTGAATAGTGAACAACGTGGTGTGAACAACCATAGGCCTATACGTACCTAATACGTCCCTTCGCCAAGGGCTATGTCGTAGGCTTCCCAACGAAACTATTACTTTTGATTCTGATTCACTATGCAAACCAACACAAAAAAACAAACAAACAAAATAAAACAAAAAAGACCTGACACAATACGGTTGCGCAAGATGAACAGTCGGGCAATACAACTATTGTTAGACATACTGTTTACCCAACGTAAGCAACGCTGTGCGACGGCTGAGCAGGCAGGACTGTCGGGCACAAAACCACAAAGTGCCACACTGGCGTTTACTGGTTTTATGCCCGGCGGCTTTCACCAAGTAGGAGATAAGAGGTTTTTTCATTTGTGTTTTTAACTTAAGGTCCTGATTTTTCACGTGTGTCAAATATTGTTTGACTGGGACATACTGCATGTTATATAGAATCTTATAAGTCAAAAAAGTAAATTTGGAAAAATCTGTCGCTTTGAAGGTTTGTGCACGACGGCAACAATGTTTTTTTTATGCCAAGAGTATGAGTCTGATGAAAGTTTGCTCAAAACAAAACTCAATTTGAGAAATAAATGAAACATTTTTACCAGTATCAGTTAACTTCTAATATTATTTGAATACTGGTAAATTACAGAGTTTGCTTTTTGGGGGGAAAATGAATAATTTTGTAATAATACTTCTATGGTTGTATTCACAGTCATCTTATTACGTATGTGTTTTTCAGCCCTCACCATGGCAACACTTTTGTCAAATGCAAGCCAATTTGCTCCTGCTGCAGTTAGATTAGGGACTACATGCTGTGCTTTCAGGTAAGGGAGCCTACGAAATAGGGATATTTTATATAATTTATATATAAGGCTATAGGTAAGTCAAGTCAAGAAGACACAACATTGTACTCATATCGCATTACTTTTTTGTCTCATTGTAGAGGGATTTTTGTCTTCTTGATTTGCGATCAGGGTTAAACTGAAAATGGATGTTGTAAGTGCACCATTTACCTTTGAAATTTTTTACTGGTCAGGTGAGTCTTACATTGTCATTGAGAAAACATAAGCGGAATTTTTCGTAGTGTAGCTGAGCAGACGTTGTTTATGTGCGGAGTGACAGTAAAGCCAATGAGAAATTTTTATTTTAAAAAGCGGCAATACTTTCGTCTACAATGTAGCACCTTTCTTTCATAAGATTGGATAGCACTATTAAAAGTTTAAAAATATCTATGTATAATAATTACCATATTTTTTATATCGAAAGACTATCTTTGTTAAAAGCTCAATAGAATTTATATATTTGTATTTGCCGCTGGGATGTGAATTGAAAGGTGAAAGATAAAAAAAAACTTGACAGAACCATGAAGAAAGCTAGCAAGATCTCAGGATATGATTTTACTAGATTTTATGAAATGTATAACCCCACAATTATAAAAAAAGATAAAAAAGCATTATAAACGACCCATCACACCCACTTTCCACACTAATTGTAAGATCACGCAGGGGCAGATATGTACCTCTAAACACAAAGAAAGAAAGATATATATAAGAAGTTTTTTACAATCTAGCATAAGGCTATTGTCAGAATAATGTGTATTGCTCTTTAGAGTATACATGTATAGCTACGAGTATATAACTCCAGAGGTCTTGGAATCAAATTCCTGCATGTGGTTGAATGATGCATCTGATGTGATATGTACATTTTGTCAGCTTTATTTCTCTTTTCATGTTGAATTTTAATGAGAGTAATATATAATTTAGGTTTTTTATGTACACCTGCATGTATTTTTACGGTCCTGTACAGCCAAGAAAAATTTCCCTCTGGGATGATGAAGTATTATCTTATCTTATCTTATATTCTTCTGCTTGTAAGGGAAGAATTTAGTAAAACAATTCCATTAGATTTAAGCGGATAAAAAGCTGTAAGTTTTCTTTTGAGATTTCCTTTTGGTAGTTATCGATCCAGTTGTTGTTGTTGTTGTTATCGATTTCCTTTTGGTAGATAAATGACTAGTTTCACTTGTGTAGGTGTAATTGTTGAAGAGTAAACTGATGTTCATGTTTTCTTTATTTTGTGTGCTTTTGGAGTTAAATGCTGTGTCAAAATATTTTTTTTAACATGTGGTGAAAGCCGAGAAAGCTGACAGTACAGATTTTAATAATTGATGAAAGGAAAGCAATTTGATTGTACTCTCCAAACTTGCAATTTGAGTTCACTATGACAGAAAGTTGAAAATCAAGATGAGGTCTCTAATTGAGGAATCACATTTTGTCCTTTCAGCACAACCTCAAAATTACTAGAGGTTCGTCTGCTATCCAGGATGAGAATCGTGGACAATAGTGCCATTGGCAGAGCTGCTGCAGAGATAGGAAAACCTCCACGTGTTATTCACGTCTATAACAAGAAGCAGGTAAATTTACATTTTATATTTGTACAGCACTTCATATAATGGTTTATATTATCTGTTTGAATACAGTGGAGTCTGCTAAAACTGAAATCTGTAGGACTGCTGGGTTTTTTTTTCAGCTTAGCTGGGTTTTTGGTTTAGAGAGGGTTGAAGTTGATTGTTGAGTTTGCAGCATAGTGTTGGAAATCCCATGCTTCTGTCAAATTTCTGTTTTTGAAAAGGTTTTTTCTCATCTACCTCTTCCAGTAACTACAGTTTAAGCTGTATGCATTGTGTTTTCTCATCAACCTTGTCAGGTTGCTTAATCTGCCAAACAGTCATATGGAACAGACGTTAGAGTAGATACAGGAGTTAGAATAGGTAGCGTAAACACGGCCTCGCGGGCACTCGCGGCCTTCCGACGGCGGGGTATCAGTGAAATCGGGGTAATTCCGATCGCGGTTTCTTTGCTCTTTCGCTATAAAACACCAAGTGCCGTACACCATGTAAAATTTCAACTTTTCCTCGTTACAATGGTGGAAAAATTGACACGGGTGCATTCAAATGCTTCGCGGAAGGAGGAATGATTAAATACCGTCTTTTCATTGGCGAAGAACTGTACAGCTTTAAACGGGCTTTCCCGTGGTATGTGTTTTGCCTTTGGCGTTTAAATAGACAGCTTTTAAAAATACTGTCAAAATGTTTAAAGATCACTTTTTACCCATAATATGTAAAATACCGGCTGAAAAAATATTTTAAATAAAAGATCAGCTTATTTCCTATTAGAATAAAGTAAATTGCTTGGAATTATTTTTCATCAATCCTTCTGCGAGACTCAGAAAGCATGTGACCCCGCACGCGGGGTACACTACAGTATAGAGCCGACTCGCTCGCCGCGGGGCCTGGTGCGGCACCGGCCGGGTCAACGCTCAGTGTTTTTGTCGAAATAACGACAGATCATCGTGTTTGAGGCGATAAAGTACTGATTTGTAATGATCTCACAGTCTCGAAAAAAATTAGGCTCCATATATTTGTTATAGTGATTGTACTCTGTTAATGTGGAGATGTTTAGTGCTCTTGGTACTCTTTTATTGTCTGTCAAACATGGGGTTGCAGCCAGTGACTGACTTTAACAAATTTGATCAAATTTTAAACAACTACCATTTTCTTTAAAAATTGACTGAGAGGTTAAAGAATGGTACCAAAATGCTCAGTGGATATAGGCCTTTCAAATGGCACTGATAAATTTGGCATACAACTACTTTGAAAATTTAGTTTCTGGTACCTAGTTAGAAGGAAGAAAACCCAATGCCAGTGACATCATGAAACACACCGTATGCCATCACATCCTCATGTGTAGGACCTATGTAAACTAGCTTCACAGAGACAATTGAATAGGTCATGACCAACAGAAGGTCGGCTGACTGATGTACGTAGGCTATCCTTGCTTCATTGGGTCCATATGCAGCGCATTGGCCTACTGATATATAATATATGTGTGATAAACACAGGCAATTGGTGATGCCTTTTTCTGGAACACATTCAACACACGTTCTTGTCTTTCTTCTGTTCCGCTATCTTGAAATGCGTTAGACTTAATAATTTGCCATTCTTGTGGGTTTGTAGTGAAGAATTGGATGACATAACCCTCGAAATTCTTTTTGGTTTAGAAATGGGAGCATTTTGGCTCAGTAAATTTTCTTACAAAGGCAATAGAAGTAAAATATGAGAAATTTTATTTTCTTTCGGTTTACAGGCTCTTTTCAGTTTAAAAGTTTCGTGTAAGTGAAGTGAGTATTCAGAGAGGGAGAGAGAGGGGGGGGGGGGGGGGGGGGAGGGCGAGAAAGACAGAAAGAAAGAAAGAGAGGGAGAGAGAGAGAGAGAGAGAGAGAGAGAGAGGGGGGGGGGGGGGGGGGGGGAGGGAGGAAGAGAAAGCAATGCAGTGGGAAGATTGTGTGAGCCATTGTGTCTTTTCTTTTCTTAAAATATGTCATGAAGGCTATCATATATTTAGTTTTGGTTTAGTTATGGGTATTATTATAAAGTGCCTTGAAGCACTCCAGGATACAAGTGTTATTATCTATTGTGATTTTTTTAAAAAAGAAAGAGTTGAAGACATGGATGTTGTGGGGAGATTTTTTAAAATGATTTTGATAGATTTTGTACAACAGTTAAATTTAATTTAGTGGTTAGGCTACCGGACTCGTAATCGTGAGGGTGCGGGTTCGGGGAAGTGTTTGACCACTTAAGCAGCTGCTTGCACTGTATGCTTCCCGGGAAGCTGAGAATGTTTCTGAGTGTTCTATGGTCTGCTGGGGTGATAATATAGTGTGAAGCGCATAGAGCTTGCTTTCAAGTGGGGACATGCGCTATACAAATGCTATTTATTTATTATTATTGGGTTTGAAAAGAAAATGACTTGACACAAGTTTCTGTACATTTTACTTGTGGACCGTGCTTTAAAATCAAAGTGTGCGTGCGAGTTCATAAAGCCTGACTACTTTCTTGTACTTATACTATACCATACCTCCTCAGGTTGGACATCTTGGAGACAAAGTGCTGGTGACCGTTAAGGGCGAAATGCGGAGAGCCTATATTGTTGGACTCAAGCAAAAGCAAAGACCAAATGTTCCCCGCACGGATACGAACAATATTGTTCTTGTGGATGACAACGGTAACCCTCTTGGAAATCGTGTTTTGGTGCCAATTCCTTCAGCATTGCGTGCTAATAAGAAAGGAGACCTTACAAAGGTTTTGTCCTTAGCCACAAAATTTGTATGATTATGTGTGTTTGCTTTCTAGATTATAAAATTGTACACACCCACAGTCATTTGTTCTTTTGTTGTTCTTATGTGCTTAGTGTGATGTCAAATTTGTTCAGCTCTTTGAAATAACTTACCTTGAAAATTAATTTGGTCTTTATTTTATCTTGTTGGTCAGGCATGAAATGTAACCTGGCTAGGTTTCATTGGCTGACATGTTGCTGTACTGTATTACTATAATTCATCTGTGTACAGTGGAACTTGGATTCAACAAGATGAGATAGATTCCCCCTTTTTTTTTTTTTCTTCTTTAAAAAATTTGGGACATATTGACACACTCATCAAATTACTCCTTCAAACTCAATGAACATGCACTTTTTTAGAGTCTCTAGATCATTGAACAGTCCTCTCCAAGATGACGCTGTATAATTTTGCTTTGCTCACAAAATCACGTGACATCACTTTCTCTCCCCATTGGCTCAAATGGAGATATGACAAAACAAATTTATGGTAATTAATGCTTATAGAGTTCTGACAATTGTACTCTCAGTTTTTAAAATCCGCTTTGGACATACGACAATTGGGTTCTGGATAACTGAACAAATACTGTAGCCTACTTAGAGTCTTGAAACTTATTGGAGATACAACCCATGGGAATTTGAATGCATGAGTGGTCTTATATCGGATTTCATGAAAAGTGGACATACAACACTTGTACTCTGGGCCGACTATGTGTCTAGAAATATAAATATGATGATGGTAGTGTATTAGAGATTAGATAACAATGATGATGCTGTTTTAAGTAATCTAGTTCCGACTTTAGCGCCTTCACTAGATCCTCTCAGTCTCAGGCTTTCCTGAGGGGCAAGACACATCCCTCATTCCCACTCTTCGCATAGAGTAACCAAATTTTTAAAGCTAAATTGTCATCACTTCCCTTACATTAACTCACTTCAGACGGGTCACACAACAGTTGCGTGACCCCCACCGCGACGCTCGCGACGGGTCTCAAAAGCCCTGCGTGACCAACTTTGGAATTTTTTTTTCGCTCTACAAATCACGCACGGATTGTGAGACCCGCCTCGTACCCTTGTTTGGCCAAGCCTGAGCTACTTAGACTTCGTTTCGTATCTCTGGGGCCGGTAGTTTTTAAGTTATTGAAGGTGAAGGACAGTGACCCCAACTGGGGTTGAACAGACCGGAACTCGCGCTTTGTTTTTTTCTATACAGCTCATAGTAATCCGACAGTCGCGTCGTAGTAACGGTCGAAGAAGTCGCTTGAACAAGAATCACATAATTTCGCCGTTTTCTATACTTCTGTGCGTTTTACTAGTTCTAGTGTCTCAGAATAGTTAGGATCCTGGATATGTACCCGAACACGGCCTGAGTCGTAGTTCTAGGGCTAGATCTAGCACTAGTACCGGTGTTGTTTTTCGCGCAACGAAATCACAACATCGTGCCGTACATCTGCCTCATGTAATTCAGTGTATGGGTCTGAATCAATGCACAGACCAGCTTTTATATTTTCACCAAACACTCGCACATGTATACAAATCAAACCAGAACACTTTGAACTTTTATTTTTGTTGTTGCAGTGAATTTCATTCTAGTTGTCACGTCTCTGGAAATTTTTCGGAAAATCAAATTCATGCCAATTTTTAAAAAATCATACAAATTAAAGTATTAGACTTCGACAACTTTAGTTTTTTGTATTAAATTAAGCTTGAATGTTACTTTACTGTGTCAAAAAATGATTACAATAGGGTAATTCTGAGAGCTGTGGTGATTTATTGAAATACCCCCAAAAACGTCAGTCTTCAACGCTTGTGACTGGTGAAAGGGCCCAGTCGCAAGTGAGTTAATAAAGGTTTGTAGAAATACCATATGGTCGGGGGCGCTTATAGTTGATGAACTGTATCCAATGCTATCATTGGTACAACAAGTAATATTGATTGTGGCAACAAGATTAAATGGTATTATTATTAAAAGTGATGTTCAATTAAATTAAATTTGAAATAAGATGAGATGAATTTTCAAGACTTTTTCAAGTCACCACTATCAAAATCCATCAAAGATCTCAAAGCCTTTCATTTATTTCCACTGCTTCCTATTTTTACCTTGACAATTGTAACTTCTGAGCAGGGGCAACAAGTGTATCTCATCAAGGAACTGAAGAAGCCACCATAGATGTATCTCGCACACACGAGAGTTATTGAAGAGTTTGTGCAATAATTTGCAATCCTTTGTCACCACATATACTTTGTGACAACACCAACAGCCAAATATTCCATATAATCTTTATTATTCTTCATGTTATTTGATTACAGTGGCTTAAGAGAAAACTCCTTGTTCATTGTGGTAATTGTTATAGTAAGGTTCTACGGTGCTCGCAACTGCGTACGGTCAAATGAGCACCAAGAGGTGGATGTCAACAGAAGTCCAAACGGGGAATCAGGCTTACTCTGCTCACCTCTCTAGCCTCAACAGCACAAAGTCTGCATCGACTATCAAGTAACCCTGGAAATAACAGTTCACAAGAGAGTGACAAACATACAAAAGGAGTGGAGGAAAAATGACAATAGTAAGGATGAGGAAAGAAAAAGGGGTTCATGTTGCAAATTGGATCGAAAACTTTCAAATACAATAATATAGCAACAAACATAAATTCAAATGGTTTGATTTTCTGTTTCATTAAATTTTAATGGCCAAATGAATAGTACCTATACTATGAGAATAATGCATCATGTACTGAAAAAGAAAAAAAAATTGAATGTACATCATTTTTATATTGTTTGCAAGTAGTGTAGAAAAGTTTATGCCAAATGTTATGCCAAGTAATAAAGGCCTGATGTTGAAGTAGGTGAAATAGTCCCGACAATTGCCAATATATTTGCTAGCTGCATTTGAAGAGTAACAAGCACCATGATTCCTTCAACAGAGTGAGAACTTCTTGGAAAAGGTATGAAAAAAAAACACACAAAAAAACACATTTTACAGACATAGGACAACATTTCTTAATTGGAGAAAAAAAGAACACAAACAAAAACAAACACAACCCCCCCCCCCCCACAAAAATAAGGAAACAGAACAGACAAACTGGGGCAAATAGACAAACTGATTGACCAAAAAACAAAAACAAACACAACCCCCCCCCCCCCCAATAAGGAAAGCAAAACAGATATATTCAAAGTCAAAATTGAGCTTGACACATTGGCACAATTCAAATTCAATGAGAGGTGATACTGTATCATGATAGATGGGCAAAATGTTGCGCTGAATGAATAACACCCAAGAACGAGCAAGAGATCACGGGGAGCGCCAGAAAGAAGTCTGGAAGGACAAGATCAGCTGACACACAAATCAAAGGAAATTTCACAGAGGGGGAGACATCCTGCCATGTAAAGAGTCCAATATACGCAGGAATATGGCTCTGAATCTTCAAAACTGTCGAAAATCAATGCGTACAAAACGGTGCATGGCTGAATTCAAGAGGCTGGGCTTGAGGCTTATCGCGGGTCAAGAAATATAATAGACCCCACCAAATGTTTCTCGTTTGGCATGGGGTAGAGGGGAGTGCTAAAGTGAAAAAAAAAATGTATTTGACTTCAAATTTGTTATTTGGTATCAGTTTTGAATTGACCATGAATTTGATACTAAACGCTGAGATCATTATGATTATAGTAGTTTTGTTTCTATAAACAATGTACAGACTTCAACATAAGTTAAAACTTACAAACACTCTGAATGGTCTTCTTGGGTCGACCTGCATGCGGGCGTTCTTTGACTGATCCAGTGGCTTGATGGCGCTGCCTCAAGCGGATAATGACAGAGTGTGACACTGCAAACCTTCTGGCAACTTCTTGAGCTCCAACTCCATCCGTGCAGCACGTAGTGGTTTTGCCACTTTAGGAAGCTTTGCAGTATGCATTGGTAACCCATTAACACTTTCAGAGCAAAAAAAATTTGAAACATTCCTTGCTGTCTTTTTGGGGGGGGATTGTTAAAAAAATCAGGGCTGTCTGTCAAGGTTGTCCCTACCTTATGTTGAAGTCTGTATAAAAATGTAGATTTTTGGGGCACTTCCAATACATGATTTTAAACATAAATTTTTTGAAATCCCCCGAAACTCCTAACAGTAAATATAAACTTTCTCATTGTGATATTTTTGGTTGGATTTGAGGATACAGCACATGATAATGTACCGGTACATCATGTATTTCCCTTTGAAATTTATGTAAATTCAACCCGTTATCATCAGGAGAGCTCATAACTTCCCTTTTCTAAATTCAAGATAGACCTTGAATGATTACAACATTTTTTTTTTAATGCACGAGAGCTTAAAACTTGTGCAAAAACATGTTCTTGGGCAAAACATGCTGTCTACGAAAATGGTCGTACAACTGCAGTGCACTGCAAGTACATCTAGTGTCTAGCATAATATGAGGCAAACTTTGCACTGTACTCAGAGGCAGGTAGTAGGGGCTACCTGTGTGTGGACATTGGTGTTGCTGCTTACAGTTACAGCCCATCAAATTGAGATGTGATATTAAACAAATGATGAATATTTACATGAGTGAACATTTCATAACAAAAGGCAACTTGACTGCACAAAGAGCATTTGATAGAACAGAGAGAGAGAGAGAGAGAGAAAGAAAGAAGAGAAACACTCAAAAACGGGGTGCGAGTAGGTTTTGTTTCAGGCAATTAATGTCATGAATACATAAATATTCGCTTAACACTATACAGATTTACTTTTTAATGCCAGTTCATGTACATACCATAGCAAAGTATTCAACTCCAATACTGTATATATATTTACATCACCTCATCTCACTCTAACATGCTGCTTACATTTTTTACGTTAATGTTATGCTAATAGTTAATGTTCCTGAGAAAGAATCTCTTACTGGCTGTTACAACTACAAATTCATACACGTACTGCGACACAGTATTTCCGACAGCTGAGAGGAAGTAAATGCACAGAATCCATATTTCAACATTACGTGTTTATTTTTATTCATTTTTGCAGTATCATTTATAGAAAAAAGTATTTCCCTTCCAAGCTGTACAGTAAATGCTCATCTCATTCTTCTAAGCCGGAATATTCACAAACTCTCGACAAAACATAAAAAATATAATAATAATATAGTGTTCCTTTTCACGGATGACTTCAAAATGCCTTAGAGCAGTGTGTAATTGGTTTTGGAGTCTTTACACCCTAAATTAGGAAATATATTAATTTTTGACAACCATGTAATAAAAAATAAAAAGTCTGTAATAGCCTTTAAAAGATGTACAGATACAGATAATATATACCATACTATAAAACACTACATACAATTCAATTCACATAGAGAAAGTTTCATTCACTTACAGATCTAATATTATTATTAGGTCTAAATGTTGGCAGGCATCTCAGTCTTTAGGAACTATTTTTAAAAAGTTGCACTCTCATATTTTGATGTGAATACTGGTGTCCCTAAGATCGGGTGTAAGCCAAAACTCAGCTCAAACAGACACCTCTGATTTATCACTATGACACACCTCAGTTCAACAGTTCAATCCTTATACTAAGTTACCAGAAGAACTATCACCAAAATTCAGTAGGCAGTATTCATTAACTCTTGTCCTGCGTCTGCTGAGATGCGAATCTTATCAGCAACTGATTACGTCGGACATTCCGGGCAGGCCGCCGGGGTCACTCAGTGCGTACTGTTGGTGTACAACGCGCGCGCCTGGAAATGTGTGTTTTCACCATGAATACCGCGGGAGTGTGTTAATCGATGATGAAAATAACGCTTTATCTTTTATAGCTTTCTATTTATAAAGTGTTGTGAACACATGAATAACCCCCTCTCATAAGCTGATAAGACATTACGACTAGTTACGCCCATTCGAATAACCTTTTTAGATGCTCTTGTTCTTATGAATGACCTGGGGTTCGAAAGGGGATGATATAGGTCAATTTCCGAATGTTTTGCACTCAAATTGTTCTTTTTACGTGAACAATGGTATTCAAAATTATCAAAAAAGCTTATTTTTTATCAGGTAGCATCATTTCATACAAAATCAAGCTCATTTGAAAGATTTTGTGTAGGAAAAAGGAAGTCTTGTTTCCCGACTATCTTTTTGAGCTCCTTATGTCTAAGTGGGTCAATGCGTTCTATAATTTCATTGGATGAACATCTAGAGCTACCAACTTGGCGTGTTTTGAATGAGACGTATGCCTCGATTACGAACCAACGCAGGCGGTTCTAGAAGAAGGCCACAAACGCACACAAACTCAAGCAGACTGTTGCACACACACTTGATCTGCGTGAAAGCAGATCTGACGCGGGACCCAAATTGAATGGAAGACGATGCTCGACGCGCATGCGCTGAGCCAGGGGCCAGACTGACGTGGGACCAGAACACAGGCGAGGTGCCGAAATAGGCTTATCGGGCGACATAAACCCGGCCCCGGCAGGACGAGGGTTAAAGAACACTAGAAAGGAGGAGCAAACAAAACAGAACATATACTTGTACAACATTCAAGGACATATGTCCAAAAATCATTTTAAAAAGAAAAAAAGGAACACCCAAATAAATAACATGTACATGATGCAGCTCTGCTCTTCAATTTTGTTCCGTTCAGTTCCTTAGTACTTTTCCCAACATCACCCCCATTAAAATAAAGGGAGATTAAATCATCCTCATTAATGTAACATATTTGAACAACATATATTCAAAGTTTGAGCCAACAGGGAGTTAACACTGGTCTTTCAGCGAAAATGTTACATTTGCTTGTTATCCTGTCTCGGGACCATGAGCATGGTCTATCTTTCAACAAACATGAAATTCAACAGAAAAAAGAAATTGTTTAATTATACATTACTAGACCAAAATCTGAAATGCCATGACCATTGACAAAAAGGGAGTCCTTTTTTCCTTGCGACAAACATGCCCAACCCATCAACAACAGTTTTTCGTATTCCCCACACCTATACTGACATTAGTTCAACATTGGACTGTACATATTATTTGTACACTTATTTACAATCACAGTTGTGATATTTTATTGTAGCTGTAATAATAAAACACACAAACACATAAGCCGTATGTACAAATTCAACAGAGCGTAATAGAAGAGACATCATCTTAGGTCAACTTTTGATAGTAATTCCTCCACAGTTGATATAACGCGGGATACATGGCCCCGACCTCCCGACACTCCTCTCACCATTTCTTCCAGATGATTTAATCTGAAATAAAAAAGGAAGAAAGAATTCTCACTGAGTACTGATTAAATAGTTTGCTCCACTGTTCTCTTTCAGTTGATTCAGTTGTAAAAAAACAAAGAAAAATGGTTAAAGGAGAACCACAAGAGCAAATCTCAAGCCACAAAAACTACAATTATTTTGGATCATAAAAAGCCTGCATTACATACAGTATAATAAGAAACTCAAACTTCTGTGGATCAGTTTTGATGGTGAGCCCATCACCTATCTACTAATTTTGTTAACAATCATTGCCAATAACATGGTCACAAGAGTACCTGTTGGAGGCAGAGCATTATCAACTTCAACACTTTACACAGAAGGGAAAGCAGTATTACTGCTTCCTTTTTGTAGAAGATAGTATTTAGTCGAGTTGGTCCCCCTCCTCAGTCACATGTTTTCGACAGGGAGTTTTGAAGTGAACATTGAAAGCAAACTTGAGCATGGCTTCCCATGAACATCCGTATCATATTACTGTTCACATTGGACAATAATAATAATAACCACAACAACAATTTTATCCATGGAAAATATGCCTGACCTATTATATCAAGTATCTCAACATATGCTCTGAGGCAGCACATACCTGACATCACCAGACTGAACTGTAAGTGTCCAACGTGGACAGTCCATAGGCCACGCATCCAGTGTAGTCTGTAGCAGAACCTTGCTGCGTGTTCCCCTGTCTCTAACCACCACAGTCAAACTGAAAGATTGAAATCAGGGAAGTAGTAAAAATCTAACATCTAGCTTCCATTCTTTTTAAAAATTTCTACAATTCAAGTACATAATAAAGAAAGGTAGCAATGATTCTTTCATCTCAACTTTCCTCAAAGACAGCATTGGTAACAGAACACTTTGTACTTAAACTTTAAACATATATGTGTGTGTGCCTGGAGAAAAATCCCACTTATCTTCAATTGAGCAACGGAGTGAAAAGGTCAAAGAAGTTGTACTTGGTCAAATATTTTGTTCCATCCAACGTTTAACCATTTCTTAACACTAGAAGAGCTCAGCGTTTCACCGAAAGTAACCCGCTAAAAATGCCCCGTCGCCACGGCCAATCGGTTGCAAGCACAGGGGTTTGGCCGAGGTATATCAACTGCGTTACCTGAGATGTATACCTGCTACTGAAAAATGACCATTTACGGCTCAACAGATGATAAAAGGCATATAAAACCATATATCTTTTCTTAAAGCTCATAAAATGAATCATTCAAAAATGATAAGCGATCAAATACATACAAACAAAGGGCAAAACGCGATAAACCTAACAATTAGTACATTAGCACAGCGGAACAAGTGATAACACATAGCGTGTAGTCACTCATCTGGATCGCGTCACTTTATCGATCGATATTTTGGCCAAGAGACGCCCTACGAGGTCAAGACAACTTGCAATGTCATTAGTCACTATTTATAACTTATAACTGTAATTTACTACGTCATTTTCCTTAAGGAACACTGAAATTTTCCATTGAAAAAGGTCAGCGTCTATGCCCTTTATCTAGGGCCTGCACGCTTCCTGGTCGAAGTAGGTCAGCCCTATATATAGGGCCTGCGTGCTTCCCGGGTAGCCCGGCTCACGCCTTTTGCCTTTATATAGGGCCTGCACGCTTCCATGATTAATAACATGCTGAAATGATTTTTTTGTGTTTTAGTAGAGGTTTTACAGCGCTCACAACTGCATAAGGTCATAAGAGCGCCAAAGGGTGGATGTCAAAAGAGAAGTCCTTACAGGGAATCAGACTTACTCTGCTCATCTCTCTAGCTTCAACAGCACAAAGTCTGCTTCGACTATCAAGGCACCCGGGAAATAGCGGGTCACAAGACTGTGACAAACATACAAAAGAAGTTTAGGAAAATGACGATAGTAAGGATTTGGAAAGAAAAGGCAGCAGTTCCCTGTTGTAGTTCAAGCACGACATTGTTGGATCAGCCCATTTACAATTCTACTGTGCATTAGAACGAGAAATGTCCCCCCTTTGGGAATGGCCTAAAGACACTTCAGTCAGTGGCACCGCCACGAGGGTTGGAAAGAATTCTATAATATTCTGGGTCTAAATATTTTTAATTGATTATTTTTGTAACATGTACAGTCGAACCTGCCCTGACGGCCACCTCTATAAGACGGCCACCTGTACAAACGGTCACTTTCCATTTCCCCCCTTGCGTTTTTTCTATATAATTTAACTGTGTAAGACGGCACCTGTCCAACGCGGCCACCATATTTTAACACACAACCACTACCGCACTGAGCAAAAACACCTGTCTTAGACGGCCACCTTAGTGACTCCATTACGTTTTGTCATAAATTGTGCACTGGCCCCGGGAGTTGTGGGCGAGCCGTCATAATCCAATCACTTGTTGTTGTTAGGTAGTCCCTCCAACCGATCATGTTGCATAGGCCCCTCCCACTGTTGACCAATAACTACCAATTTTCAGCTGCTGGTGAGGTAAGCGTGTGATCCCTCGTAACCCATAAGCCCCGCCCAGAACTCATTTCTCAAATCGTAAGTGAGATGAGTGGTCACTGTTTACCCAGTCTGTAACAAAGTAACAGAGGACGTCAACATGAACTTGCGACAGAAGCGTCGCTCATTCTCCGAGTGGTGGCGACCCACGTATTTGTTTTAACATGGCACTCGGTCTTCCTCGTCCGATACATTTAGTTTTATTGTCACCCTTGCGCAAAATCAGCAAAAAAATATAAATAACAAACAAAATACAAACCAACAACAACAGAAACAACAACAACGCAGCAACTTTCGATTGGGACTTCAGATGGGAATGGTTTATTTTCTTCATCTTGATCAGTCCTGCCTAAGACGGCCACCTGTCTTATACGACCACTTTTCTCCTTGACAATGGGTGGCTGTCTTACACAGGTTTGACTGTACTTGACAAAGGCTAAAAATGGGCTAGAAATTGGGTTTTTCTCCAAACTTTTTTTTGACACCCCGTGTTACAAAATGTGGCACATCTTTAAAGCTACTAAAGATATTTGAAAATGTAAGAAACTGCGTGTTCAGCATTGATGAATTTGCTACAACAACAAACAAACAAAAAAAGCCCTTATTTCAATATATCAAAAATTTCCAACAACTGGGATCTTTCTCCAGGCATACACACATATACTCACCAAACACACACGAAAACTAAATTTAGGAAAATCCTGATATTTTCTCTGCGAAAATTTGCCAGATGAAAAGGTTTGGCTCATTTTAGGTATTTACCGACACTTGTAAGTTAGAAATTTCCAAACTTTCCAACATTATTGCATATTTCCCCAAAAGATGACTTACCTTTTCCTGTCTATGGCCAATTCCTGTTTCAGATGGACAAGTTTCAGTTCTTGGCTCAGGTGTCGGGCTTTGGACACAGATTCTGAAACTTCTGACAGCAGCTGTGGGGCAGACAGACAATGCAGAACATGAGAATAACACATCACCATACTGTAAATACAGAACTTTGGGTTTTTTTTTAAACTTTATTTATCCATGAGGGAAATTTTGGGAGGATATATCAGAACATCAATACACAAAGATTCAGCATCAACACAGAAATGCACTCAGCACATTCATGTTTTCTGAGAGCACATAATTTTTAGATGAAAAGAGGAAATTATTAACACTAGCATAAATTTTCAGCCAACCAGCCTTGAATTTACACCAGGGGAACTACCTCAAGTCGTGGGATTTCAGGAACTTACCGGATGGAAAATACATTAAAAAAGTTGACATCATGAAAATGAACTAAAACAACTACAAGTAATCCGTGATCTGCCACATTTCATAACTTCCATTAGATTTCTGGAAAAGATGCACCCTATCGTATGTGAAAGGTTAGTTTAGTTTTAGTAGAGATTTTACGGCGCTTGCAACTGCATGAGGTCATATGAGCGCCAGAAGATTAGAGGTGTTACAAGAGAGTAACAAACATAAAAAAGAAGAAGGGGAGATAAGGACGATAGACATTTGATAGGAAATAAGAAGCAGACCACACCAGAGCACCCGCCAACCACCCGCTTAGAGGTGTTACAAGAGAGTAACAAACATAACAAGAAGAAGGGGAACTAAGGACAATAGATGTTTGATTAATGAAAAAAGAAGCAAACCACACCAGAGCACCCGCCAACCACCCATATGTGAAAGGTTGTAAATATTTTTCTGCCATTACCGCACATTTTAAACAAGGTCTGAGGCTGGCTTCTTCAATATTGCTTGTCAAGACTAACCCAGGCAGAGTGGGATACAACATCCCAAAAGATAGACAGAGATACTCCACAAAAAAAATAACTCCCCAAAATCCACGTCTTCAGCATGCAACAGCAAAGAGCCTGTTACATCACAGATGCCAGTCTTATCATACGTGATCAGACAAGAGCATTTCAGTCAACACTGAAGGACAGTCACACATAAAAGCACACAAAAGTCTACCTGTCCCAGGGTGTTGTAGTCCTTGTACTTCCGTTGCAGTTCGCTGCAGTCAAGGCTCGTATATACCAGGTCATGGGACAACTTGGCCCATGGTCGACTGTTAGCTAAAAGAGGAAGAGAATCGGGAACACTTTATATAGGATTTGCCTACTTTTTCATTGTCTTACTGCCAAGCGTAAAAACTACAATCTAACACAAAAATGTGGGGGGGAAAAGTTTATTCCAATAAATTTCTAAAATATATAGCAAATGAGCCATATAATTGGATACTTTTTAAACATAATAAAACGCAATCAAAGAACTGTTTTATACATTGGTACATTATTTTGATTATATTATTTATATGTCTGGGAGATTTTTCTGAAATAAAACTGCCAGAAGTGAGCAGCTCGGCAAGTGTAAAACACATTGAAGAACTTTTGTTATAATAATAATATTCAATTAGCAAACTCATTTTCTCTCAGCTTTTTAAAGCAAGTTCCTCCTTTACTCAAGTCATTTTGAAAAAGCGGGAAACTTAATCCCCAAGTAATATTTACTCTAATCACTATTTTGGGTGACAGATTAGAGGCACAAAACAAAACAGGTGTCTTTCCCGACTATGTACGAATGGGAACAAAGTATTCTTTTCAGCTCTAACATAGCCATCATTAATTAACACAATCCCACCTGCTGAGTACACCAAAGACATCCTGTACCTGGCCAAGCAAAGTACCACTGGACCCAACAGACCAACTATCACATTCAGACAACACCAGCTGAAACAAAAGTGCTCACCAGCCAATCTGGACTTGCGCGTCACTCCCAAAATCTTCCGATCTTTGTCTCCAGGTGAGGTTGTTTGAATACATAGTACAACGGTGTTGAACAAAAATCCAAACTGTATCTCTCTCGCACTTTTGTGCAGAATGCTCCATTCTGAGAGACTGTAATGAAGATCAGTAGAAGACATATCAAGAAATCATTCTATAAACACAATCCACTCAAAGAAACACATATATCATTAACCCTATCCGTGCGTCATGTTTTACTATTGTATCCAAATCGACATGGGGAACTCTGAGCCAGCACTTTCCAAAGAGGAAATTTACTCGTTAATCCGATCCGTACGCTTTGCATAGCAGTTTGTCAAAATGACTTTTTAAGAAATACTGAAAGTTTCAAAGAGATCTTCGAACTAGAAGTATTCTAAAATGTGAAGAATACAACCCCTGGGGTACAAAATGACCCCCGTCCACAGACAGGGTTAAATAACCTATTTTTAAAAAGTGAAGAAAAAAAAATTATTATTTAAACAACAAGAACTGACTCATAAAAAGTCTTGTATCACAATAAATGTTTTTAAAAAATTTAACCTACACAAATTATAACCAAAGACATTAAAAAAAATTTCTGATCCAGATCAAGCACACACAATCTATCAAATTAACAACCAGTACCATAACATACCTGCTCATCCAAGTCAGCTGCTCTTCCAGTAGATCCCGGGCCGAGTCACATTCCTGCAAACGTTTCCCAACCTCAACGTTACCTTGTTTGACGTGGGACAACTGACTATTGAGAGCTTCACACTGACCCCGCGTCTCCTCCGTCTCCCTATAGGTAAGTTAATTGAAAAATACCATTAAAACAGAAAAAAAAAGAAGAGAACAAAGCTAGAACAATAAAAGAAACAATGCTGGAGAAGGTAAAGAGAGAATACTCAAGTTTATTTTAAGACCTTAATTCACAGAACTACAATGCCAGTCTAGTAAGAGAAAAAAGTATTTTTTCTACGATGGCCAATCTCAGCTGAGAAAATTTTTGTTCAATTCCTCAGCTTTAGCAATAGGAATAAAATGCCATGGACTCAAATTGAAAATCATAGCACAAAACAGAATACAAAATTTTTGGTCTTTTTTAATAGACAACGAAAGATCCAGGAAAAATAAGTAGAATATCTATTTTTGTAGCCACAAGCTCCTGCAAGAGGCAGATATTCCTGTCAAGCACATTCTGTCTGTGGACCGTTGAATGCGAAAGTTGAATAGGACAGAAAAGAGAAGAAAAGAACAGGACTAGATAGTATCAAGGGATAGAGAGGTGAGACAGACTTTCTGACATGATAAAAAATCCTAGAAATGTTTTCTATTAAAAAATCAAACCCAGTACCAAAACAAATGGTTACATCTCCATTCCCAGACAACCTCTTCCCTACTGGGCAGATATTGCACAAATAACTTCCATTGTCCTTTCATTGCTACCAAAAGCACACACAACTGTTTAGTCTTTTGTTTGACATTTTCAAAGGACACAAGAAAAAACTTTGAAAGCTCAGAAATGTGACCAACACATGAATTACAAACAAAATATATACATAAACACTAACAAACAGAAAACAAAAATACACCTAAACAGTAGTTTTTCAAAGTCAGAACTTAAAAAAGCACAAACCTTTGAACTTTTTGGTGTTCATCCTGCTTTAGAGCCATGTCTGTCAAAAAGAGAAATGGTAAATTTCACTTAAAGTTATTCTCGTTTCATGAAAACGTCTTTTTGATATTGTACCTATCTTTTTCTGCCCCCAAGAGCAACAAAGAACAAGGAAAAGAAATGTAACTACTCTTTCTTCCTTTTACTATTTTACAACTTTCAAAGACTTTTGTCAATTATTTTTCAAAATAGTCTGGACGTTGAGAGAGAAAAATGTTCCTTTCCAAATGTGAGCAGAAAAGCTAAATCTAGCTATAATCCGTTGCTTACATTCTGACCTTCAACATACGAGTATAAATATCCCAGTAGTTCAACATTTCCATCACAAAAAGTCAATAGAATAGAAAGAACAAACTAAAGCAAACTGGCTTTTTTTATTAACACAAAAAAGTGACATCATCAAAGTGTGTCTTGAGCATAAATGAGACAATAAGTTGGTGGCCCAGTGGTAAAAGGCTACCGCACTCGTAATCGTGAGGTTGCGAGTCCAAGGGTTCGAGCCGCGGGCCTGACGTTGTGTCTTTGGGAAAGGCACTTTACACGAATTTTCCTCACTTCACCCAGGTGGGAATGGGTACCGGGCCACAGACAGCGAAAGATCTTGTCAATATGTTGGTGTTTTAGAGCCTATAAATGGTTGCTTGCACTGTATGCTTCCCAGGAATTGTTTCAGAATGCTCTCAGGTCTGCTGGGGTAATGGTACAGATTGTGAAGTACATAGAGCTTGCTGAAGAGCGGGGATTTGCGCTATACAAATGATATCTATTATCTATTATTAATTAGTATTTCTAATCTTTCAAATACTAAATACTAAACTGCTTTGAGGTAATTCTTTTTCAACATCATCTCATGTATCTATTACCTTCTTTATGAACCTTGCTGGTCTTGATGTCATGCAAGTCTGGAAAGCAGAAAAGAAGACAAGAGTTTTACCAAAAAAAACGAAAAAAAAACCCTATCAAACTCAACAAACCAGTTTAGTTTATAATATTGTTCTATCACAAACCAAGCTATGATCCACTCAATATAATTGCCACAGCTATGGATCAAATTGTACTTTTCATTGTAGTAGTGTCATATATCAAGCCAAGTAAAAATGTCGTGATTTCATTTTACACCCACAGAAAAGATATCATAGCATTTTGTTTATAGGATCTAATTTCTGCTTAATTCACAAATCAACATTAATTCATTAAATTACATGGCATAAAAGACGAACATTTGAAGACTTTACAGCAAACTATAAGAAAAAGATAACGCAAAAGCCAAAAACACCGCAAACTTTTCCCAAAGTTTAGGAGCTTGATAAAAAAAACAACACCTAAAAACAAAAGATTTTATTTTTCAATGTACTCACACTGGTCTATCTGTGAATTAAGGCTTTGTAACTTTTCTGCTTGAGACATCACACTGTTCACGTCAGCTTCCAGGCTGCTGTGAGCCTCCTGTAAAGAGAAAGATTTTTAAAAAATTAAAAAATAAAATAATCAAAACTGCATTTCACCTAAAGAAGAAACTAAATGACAACATTTTATACCTGGTTATACATGAATTGTAAGCATTTTCATGTAAGCGAAAAGGTGACATAAAAAATTTTTTTTTTTTAAATTGAGAAGAGAGGAGCCTCTCACGGCCTAGAGGTTAAGGTGTTGGCGTCTCATTCAGTGCTTCCACCGGCTGAAGCTGAAAAGTAAGGAAAATTCTGCCGGGGGTCTGGGGAAAAATAGTGCTTTTACAGGGTTGAAAATGGCATTTGGGAGCCTGTTTAAAGAGATTGCCTGCAAACCATAACATTTATTTTTTCACCAACATTTTGTCTTGTTTGATTTCTTCACCAAGATCTACATAATATATTTCCATTGATGGCAATGTTTAAAATCAGGCTCCCCTTCCATTGCTACTATAATTCAATTAATTTGTCATCGCACCATTGATAGAAGGAAATCAGGGAATAATGAATAGATATGTACCTTCACAATACAGTTACCCGGCGTATACCCTTATTTTCCTTAAATTTCACGCCTGAATGTCGCATGTCACAACCTCGGAAAACCACTTCGAATTATTCTTGACTTTGGTAGTTTTAGGCTGGTTTTAGCATAAATTTCTTTCATCGCGCCCCTTATCGCGTTCCCGTGCCGTAGAATCTTCGTATTGATCATTTCTCTAGATTTAGACAACTTTGTAAAAAAGTTTCTTTCCGACAATAATTTTCTGTCTAAGATCACAAGTCAATTTACTTGATCAAAGCGCAGATTTTCCAACCGCGGCAACAATCCGAAGATAGACAGACAGAATGAGTGAATGATAGAAAGGAGGTAATTGGAACAAAAAGTTCAACAGTTTGACCAATCCACAGGTAAAAATGTACTGCCGACCAACCCGCACTGAATGCATGGGGCATAGCGAAATAATGGCCGATTGCAGGAAATGTGCAATCTGGCAGGTTTCTACAACATTAACTTATTGCCGAGAGAATAACCGTAAATATCCGTAACTATATTAGTACTTGACAATACAAAGGCGAGTACGTATCTTTCGCTACGGAATTTCGGTAGTCCTACGCTGTTGCAGCTTTTTACGGAGGGAGTTGATAATGATGGAGGAACAAGTACGGAACTGGCAGAAAGTACGGATTTCTCTAAAAATATGGAAGAGTGCTCATTCAAAAGTCCCGGGTTCGAATCCAGGAAGAGACCGAAAAAAATTTTCTTCTTTAAAATTGTCTCTTTTCACCTCCTTTCCTGCTCTCTAGCAATGTTCTGTCATCTGCTTTCGTCTCCTCTTTCTGCCCCCACCCCCTCACCTCCTCTGGGCTCCTGACTCTTTCTGCAGCCTTTCTACTGCTACTCCTTGGCTCCTTCTTACTGCTGTCTTTCAGCTACATCCCTGATCTTCTGGTAGGAAAGATCTACACACTTCTTGGACAAGGGCGAAAAGTCTCTGTGCAGTTGCGAGCGCGTGAAACACTTACCAAAAAAAAAAAAGATAGAGAAGAAAGAAAAGAAAAGAAAAAAGGAAAGAAAAAAAAAGGAAAAAAAAAAGGGACACACGCTGAATTGTAAAGTTTCGTCTTTTGATGCAAAGAGTGAAAATATCAGAATCGTGGACATTTGCTTTAATATGATCCAAACTCCAGCTCACCTCTCTTGCCACATGGTATTTCATTAAGAAGTCTGTCTTGCGATGTTTCCAGGTAGCCCTGGCCAAGTTCCTGCAAGTCTGTGCAGCAGCTTGAGCCTTTGATTTCAAATCCGAGATCTGCAGGAAATGCAGGAGAAAGTGGTTAAGAAAAAAAGGAAACTAAAGTAAGAGAACATATGTTATTTCACTACTTTTTTCATATCAATTGGTTCAAGGTCAGAGCACTATATAATGAAAGAATCCAATTATGTACGAGCCAACTTCATTTGAGAGGTAGGGGTGCAGTAGAGAAAGACAGGAAGAGACAGGGGGAGAGAGGGAGAGAGGGAGGGAGAGAGAAAGACAGAGAATTGTAACTTTCAATTGAAGCCGCAATACCTTTTAAGTTTTAAAGTGAGCAGAAGTGCCTTGTACTTAACATTACCCTAAGGGGGAAAATGTTCAAAGAAAAATGAACACTATAACTATGAGTGATCGTATTCCGCATGAACTCTGATGTACAAAGGGAAAGTCCAAACCAAAACAAATCTGAGCAAGATACAGTATATATTAGTCGAGCACATTTAACTCAAATATCATTTAGTAAATATGCAAAACTCAAATTCACAGATAGCTCAAACAATATACCATTCCCTGACTGAATTGCTAAATTTTCTTTGTATTGACAGCACTGCTTTCTCAAGCACTTGCATGGATGCATTAAATATCTCATCTCATAAACCTTGATTACATTTTTTTTCACAATTATTTAGAGTTTATCGCCTTGCACATAAAATAGAAAACAAAAACACATTCACCATCATCAAAAGTACCAGGTCACATGAGACCACAGGGCTCCCCCCCCCCCTGTGTTATACACACACCAATGGCATCAAGATGCTTCATCACACATTACCTGCAAAGTGTATAAAGCACTGGGACTTCCTTCAATGTAGCTATGTGAGGGTGGGTGGTGGGGTGCGAATGACGTATAGTGAGTGAATTATGTTTGTGCGCATGTGCGTTGTCGTTTGAATGTGAAGGTATGGATCAGGAAGTGATTATACAAGGGTGGGTGGCGTGCTTTGGCCTCTGTAGGTTACATTGTCATGATCATGATCTGATGTAAGAGCAGTCCCCCCCCCCCCCCCCCCCCATAGAGCTCATCAATATCAGTCTTTTCTTTTCTCTTGCTTCACCACTGAACAAGGTACACCTTCTATCCATCCTTCTATCAATACTGCGTACTTTTCATTGTGGCATTGACTTGTTTTCTAACCATTATACTGTCAAAGCTGCTTCCTTTGATTTCCTGAAACATCTGTCTTATTTTTCATTAAATGGTTTACTCAAATTACAGATGTGTTGAACATTTTTGCAGACCTGCCACTCTATGAAATCTAAAATTCAGGATTTTAGAGTAGAAAAATCAGGATCTGGTGAAAAAAATCGGGATCAACTGAAAATCAGTCATAAGGGACACTGGGGAAGGGGGGGGGGGGTTTCTTGGTTACCCTTTATGAGGCAAGTATGCAAGACAAAACTTGCAGGAACAAGTTCACATTTGGGACTCTAAATAGAGGAAAAACTGAAAGACAGCATTGTACTTGAGTCAGAGTTGGATAGACCGGGGCAGCAGAGGTTGCAGTGATGCTGAATCTCTCGTAGTCTTGAAAATAGTGTAAACATAACTCTAATCATCCACGCAAAAAGCCTGTGTTTTCATACAGCAGACCTGCCACTCTATGAAATCTAAAAATCAGGATTTCTGAGTTAAAAAATCAGGATCTGGTGAAAAAAATCGGGATCAACCGCAAATCAGTCATAAAGGGCACTGGGGAAGGCGGGGGTGTGTTGTGGTCCCCTTTTAAGAGGCAAGTATGCAAGGCAAAACTTTGACAGCATATATGTACTCGAGTCGAAGTTGGATAGACTGGGGGAGCGAAGGTCGCAGTGATGCTGAAACACTCGTAGTCTTGAAAATAGCTGACACGTAACTCTAATCATCCACGCAAAACGCTCGCATTTTAACAAGTTTGACTTCCATCACATCAAAAAAAAGATCGCGCCAAGGTTGTTCATTTTTTTTCTTATTCCTTCCCCCTTAATTAGTACCTGTATCACGGCACGCATTTTAAGCCCAAGTGTCAAAACAATACCCCCACCCCCTCCACCCAGCCGTCCACACTGGTTAAGTCCCGAAAAACACCTCGACCAACGCGACCGGTGTGAATGAACTTTGTTTACCCCGACAACCGACGGTCCCCGACACACGCGCTACTCACCACACATACGAGGTCATGTCAGCGTTTGAAACTAGGTCGATTTTAGTTTAAATAACATACGTTAGCCCTCTACAAGACCTAGATTCGGCATAGATGCATTAGAAAATAGCGTTCCAAGTTCCTGCTGATAAAAAGTCCATTCGGTGTTTCCAAGCAAAAGAGATTGCAGAACTTTTTATATTTTTTTCTAAGAATCGGACGCAACAGACGCAACCACAAAAAATCAGGATACTGGCGATCGAAATCGGGATGCTTGAGATTTGGGGCAAAAAATCGGGACAGTGGCAGGTCTGCATACAGTAACGTCTGACTTCGATTGCATATATACACTCAAGGCACCCCCCCCCCCCTCCCAATATAAAACGGGCGCTTCAAAGTTTCACTGACAGGTCATGATGATGGGCCCGACTGACCAGCACTCAGACGAAGCTTGCTTTAACAGCAACGGAAAAACAAATAGATTATTCTAAGGCCTAGGTCATAATTGTTACAGTAATCAGGCCACCATCGAAGAATTCTGGGTAACAAAAGCGCAAGAAGACCTTGGGCGTACCCAAGTCGGAATACAAAATCAATACTACTTCGATTTTAGTTCAAATAACGTGCGTGAGTCATCTACTAGATCCGGCATTGATGTTTTAAAAAATAGCGTTCCAAGTTCGTGCTGATAAAAAGTCCAATCGGTGCTTCCAAGCAAAAGAGAATACATAACCTTTTCTATGAATCAGACGCAATAACAAAAAAATCAGGATACAGTCGACCAAAATCGGGAAGCTTGAGGTTTGGGGGGGAAAAAAAATCAAGATATCCCGATTAAATCTGGATGAGTGGCAGGTCTGTATTTGTCAACCCTTTGTTCAACTGTAGTACAACATATAGAACACACACTAAGACTTACGTCTTCTCCAACAAACTGCTTGCGAATGGCCCTCATATACCACTCTGGGGGAGCCTGATTCAAATGAGCCATCTTAGTCTCCACTTCTCGCTTCGCCCTGTGTGAAATAATACAACAGTGAAAATAATGAAAAGAAACTTTTGTATGCCAAGCACAGATCCTCTTATAAATGGTCACTTTCAAGGACTAGCGGGCTAACCCAGACCTCATGGGTTAAAAAAAATCTTGACTTACACCGAAAGTGGGCATTGCCTTACCTACAGGAGAAGTTTGGTTTCATTGGTGTGTGCATTTGTTTGGTTATAGAGAAAACTCTCCTTGTCTTTTAAAGAAACTGAACAAGGGGCAAAAGCTTTACCTTCAATTTTCTCAAAACAGCATTTTTCGAGATAGCCTCCTTGTGCTTAAAACCGACCAAATGATAGATAACAAAAAGAAATAGAAACTGCATAAGCTTTCTGGCATGACAATTCTGACAAACCAGGGAACCCAATATAAGCCAGTCCCAGAGCATTACATGACCAGAACCAGCGCCCCATAGAGACAACTTTAAGGCAACTTAAAAGCACTTCATTGGACATCTTTAATGAGGATGTCTGACATCACCCCATGAACAGTTAGGAAAATGGAGAATGAAAATCACTTCGAAGTACAATTACGAAAGGTACAAATCAAATTTGATTTACTTTAAAAATCCGTAGAGAAAAGCATAGTGTCCCAAGTAAACTAAAACTATCCTCTTACTCTTGACATTGCTCTGTGAAGGACAAGTAAAAATCTTCCTTGATGTCCACTGAATACACAAAACCAGCAACACTGAATGAAATTCTCCCCCAAAAAGTACCAAGACCTTTTTTAGTTTTAGTAACAGTTTTACAACATTTGCAAAACATACCGGTCATATGAAACACAAATAAAAGAAGGAGGGAGATAAGGACGAGAGATGTATAACAGGAAAGAAGGAGCAAATATTGGCACTTGATCAAAGCTATCTTATTAATTTTATTACCTCACTGTATCCTTCTCAAGTTGAGCAATGTAATTTTTCAGACATTCCAGTTTGGGGCGTGTGAATACTTTAGCTTCTAATCGTCCTTTCTCAGTGGTTGTAGAGACCGAAGAAGACTGAAAATGGAAATAAGGATGAAGGTAGCTTTATATTGCTAATGAGACATAGAGGATTGCCAAAGACTCGAAAAACCTTTAAGTCGATGGCATTTTAAAAAATATAAACAAACCATTTAGAAAGTCTATATTGCTAAAAAAAAAAAAAAATTTTAAGAAGATTCAGTATTGTCATTCAACATGAAGAACATTCATTAGTTGTTTTTTTTTACACCTTAAAGTCAGATATTCAGAATTAACAACCTCCTGTCAGGCATTAGTTAATAGCAGAAAATAACATTTATTTCCCCGAGTCATTAACTGGATACATCAGCACTCTCACTTTTGCTGTTAATTTATCAGTGGGTTAAAACTCAATCTTGCACTGTATAAACCCAAAGCCAAAACTGGCCATTGTGTACAGCTATTTCTTTATGAGATAAGCATAGGCCAGTGGTCAATTTGAACTGGTTAATGCACACTTTCAAATGGTGTCAGGAAATGCAAGTACAATTGAGGTGTTCCTCCAACATCGAAGAGTATACACACTCAACATTAAGAACAAAACAAAGAAGAGAAAGAATAATCATGCTTACTCTCCCATGTACAAAGAAGAGAATCCAAACAATACCCAATACATTCAAGAGTGTGTCATAGGAACTTGAACAAAAAACACGAGAAAGACATATCAAATCAGAAAAGACTTCATATCCTCTACAATACTTTCAATTATTACTCACCTCAGACACATTTTTCACAGGGACAGGATCGAAACGGATGCCCAAGACAGAGCACATAGTTCCAAATGACAGCTCAGCCTTCAGCTAAAAGTTTGAAACAGAAAAAAGCAAAAATACCTCAAAATACCAGCATTGCTATTAACACACACACGAGGCCACACAAATTTTGTGTTATCCAAACGGTGGCAAGATAGGAATGTTTTCTTACTAAACCATTACACGAAAGAAACATACTAAGTTGTTGAGGAATTTTACAAAACAAGTGCCCCCCCCAGCACACACACATACATCCCCTGTTCTTATAATACAAGGGTCATTAATAATTATCCATATTATATTATCTACACATTAATTTTAGTCTTTGGTATCTACACATTAACTCCACTTGAAACTACTAGATTAATCTAAAGAGGTGTAAAATAGATTGACACAGTGACAACAGTGTGTTTTTCCAAAAATCATGTTTTTGGTAGAGATATCATATTTGATAACCAAAAGCGCTGACAGCTCAGTGGTATGATATTTCAATACTATCAATACCATACAAGACTTACCTGACTTTCATTTGCAGATAAGACTGGCTCTTTGTTGGATGCATATTCTGATAATGAGAGAAGCACTTCCTCTGTGAGAAGGAGATGAATACAAAAATAAAAATATGAACTTTTTTGTTAAACCGCATAAACATTTCAACAAAGTTACCAAACCTATGAATATTGCAAAAATGCAAATTTCAAACGAATGAAATTTCATCATATTCAGTTAGCACCCAACATGCGTCTCACTTTGCCCCTACAGTGTCTATTCAAAGAATCTGTATCATGCTCACACGAACAGAATATAGAGCCCATCTAGAACACGTCATGACAAAAGAATCCCCTGGGGACCTGCTACAAAAATATTGGTAGACAAACTCAAACAAACAGAACAAGCAACAACATTCTATGGAGTAATGTAATTTTTAAAAAAAAATTGAAATATGATTTGAAAGCTACATTTAGCACCATAACAACTTCTATGCTAAACTGCAATATTTTCAGATAAGTAAAATGACAGCTTCACTGCTTAGACCTGCATGTGAGCCTCAACCAGATTGTCTGAAAATTTTGCGCAACCCCCCCCCAAAAAAAAAGCCTTAGTGGGTGTCATAAGGAAGGACATCCGAGTAACGAGCGACCACCCCAACAAACACAATAAAGAAGAGACCTAACCCTAACCCTACCCCAAAAAGAACCTGCATCGGGTCTCATCTTAAAGGGATTCGCATGTAAAAAGGCCAAAACAAGTACTAAATGAAAAAAAAAATTTAATTAAAAAACCACACTCCAAAACAAACAAGGAGCATATAGATTCTAGATCTAGATCTAGATCTAAATTTTATCTATATGGCTTACATCTACATTGCTATAGGGTTTGATACAATAACACAATAGAATTGGAATATGAATCCTCCATATAGACTATAGATCTAGATCTAGATATCTAGATCTACTAGACTAGTAATCTAAAAAATAAATCTAGATCTAGATCTAGATATAGAAAAATCTAGATCTAGATCCTGAAGAACAAGTGAATAGGAATAGATTCTAGGCTTTGAACTAGAAATCCGCATCCGATTCCGAACAGAGGGACGCAGCTGAGTCTAGATTCTAGATCTAGATCTAGCTAGATCTAGATCTAGAATCTAGACTATAGATCTAAATATAATAATAATAATAAATAATTCACGCACCTGATGAAATGCTTATTTTTACCAATATTAATATTACAGCACAACCTATGATAGGGTTTGACACAATAGAATTGGATTATGAATCCTCCATTGAGATCTATAATGATCTCTATATAAATCTAGATCTAGATTCTATTAGAACAAGAGAGTCGGACTTGAATGAACCCACACGATCTGAACAATTGAATTAGTCAACAAACGAAATTGAAAATGGCCGCTCGAGCACGAAACTGAAAGTAGATAATTTAAGTTGTCGTCCTTTTTCGTATTCGCATTTCTACTTAGGTTCCGACAATTATGTCGGAAACGCCGACGTCGGCAGTCGGCGGTGCGCGCGTCGACGGTCGGCACGAAAACGAAAGTGCCGACGAAGCCGACGGGAGAAAAAGGGGTCGCTGGCAGTCGGCCAGGCCTCGCACTACGCACATTGACTGATACTAGGCGGGCCTAGCGATAGCATCGGCCGGTTCGCGGGTCGGGTCACGATTGTCGGATTTCAGACGATTGTCGGCAAACATGCAGGTCTAACTGCTCAAACAGCAAACACGGCTATAAAGGTTAAAAACTTTACAAAGCAGGAGGTGTAATCTAATTATAATCCAATTTGACATATGATCAAGATGTAATAGCATGTTCAAAGTGAATAGTGGGTAGTCCTTTCTTCTTTGAAAACAAGATAAAACAGCTGAGAGCAGAAGTTTATTTAACATATCTTGATTTACAACATTTAAGAAATAACTTTCCTTCACATCCTCTTTACATTTCTAAAACAGAGAAAATCAAATGAATAGCAAAAACGATCATGAAAACAAAGTTTGTTTGCGGGTTGATTTATCACTTTTTGGTGTCACAATTCATAAATCACACTGATTGTGGTTATTTGAGTAATTAGCCCTCACAGAAAATCCTTGATACAACCATAATTAAAAAGGTCAAATTAAAACACAAAAGTCTAGGAATGAGTCGAAAAAACCTGGGCAAAGATTCTAAGATAGAATGAAATAATAACCTTAAACTTAAACTCACCAACACCACTGAAAGAGTCCTCATGGATCATATCTGGCATCTCTTGGTCCCCGAGAGCTTCGCTGAGGTCATCGCCCAGGTCAGAGAAAGGGCTTCCAACTTCGTCACTGTTGTCCAACACCAGCTGAGAAGCAGACAGGGGAGGTGTGCGGCGGTCCTCATCATCAGCATGGGGAGGCAGCTGCTGTTTATGTTGGTTCAGATCTGACACTGAAGAATCCATTCTACCTCGGGAAGAATTCTGCAAGGACAAATACCTCATTTCTGTATCTGTGAGGCTTTGCACAGCGTCAGGTTCCGTTTGTTCAAAACGGGACAGTGACAGGGATGCATCCAAAGTCTTGACGCCAGACAGGTTGAACACACTCTCATTTCTTCCCGGAGACACAACTTTCCTCAAACAGTTTGGTTCTTGAGAGACTGTACTAGAAACTCCGTTGTCAGCTGTCACAACACCAAATTCAGCAGAGGACGGGAGGTCAGGGGTCAACACTGAGGAAATACTCTCCGCTGAACTTAGACGTGGAGCTTGACTTGCATTTGTGCGCACGTCCTTTATAGATACAGACTCCTCTTCAAGACAAAAAGACCTTTTCTGCTCTCCATTTCCATCTTCGACGGATGCTTCTGCAGGGTTCTTTTCCGAGGTGGAAGAAGTGGATGAGGAAGACATGGTGAGAGCATCCGAACTAGATTTTCTCCGATTTCCCAAAAATGATACCACATTTTTAGTAGGAAAAGCCTCCGATCTTCGATATCGAGATTTTCTCAACACATCCATACCGTTTGATAAAGACAAAGGGAGGATTTCAATAGACTTCCTCTTTTTAGGAGATAGACGTGAAGGATCTAGCTTCAGTATCTCAGAAGTGTGAAGTATTTTTCGTTTTCCCTGAATTGCATTGGCCGACTTTGAGGAGGAAAACTCTGAGGTTTCTGTTGCCCCCTTCTGTCGTGACACAGGCACATCACCCAGGCTGTTCTGTACTGGTAAATGCATTTTCTCAGCTGCTGCGAGCATGTCTTCATTTTCAAGAGTCAACACATCTACTTTTGGTGGAACAATTATCGATTCTTCCCTGAACGAAACACTTAACCTTTTGGCTGGCTTTTCTTCTCGTACATGTTTTGAAGACATAGAAAATGGAGTTCTTTCAGCGTTGCATATTTTATTAGGAAACAGTCCATCATCTTTTATGTTGCTGGTAATTTTATCGCTCTTCGACAAATTAAGAATCGAGTTTGCTTCTTTCCCCGAGTTCTGAAGTACATTAACCGATATGTCCATGAGGGCAGAGCGAGAAGACCCACGAACAATATCCCCTGTCAAATCCATGTCATCCTGACTTCTTGTGAGGCCCTTTACATTTTCCAGAAACGCAGACTCATTCAAACTCTGAGCGGGAAAAGAAGCAGCATCAGGACTGCCAAACTTATATTTCAGACTCACGTCTTGATCAACGACATGAATCACTGTTTGTTTCTCCGTCTCTCCACCTTGTTCACCAGTCTCCTGGTGACGACAGCCTGGTGACTGAGATGTTATACCACTGGTCATGTCCGTCACGACTTTGACGTCCTTACCCCTCTGCTGGTCACAAACCTGCACAGACTGGCCGTTCACTTTGTCCTCACTAGACAAACATTCTGTTGTGCTTTGAGCAGTAACCAAGCTTCCTCTTTCAGTTTCCTTCAACATCTGATGACTGGTCAAATTCTGAGTTATTTCCATTCCGTCATCCTCTGACTGTCCAAACACTTGAGTGGCAAGGCTCTGAGTGTCTCCTTGGCATTGTTGCAATCCTTTTGTCCCTGGAATTTGCACCACATGCTTATTATCAGTTATATTCTTGGTGAGCTCCATATTATCATTGCTCTGTCCAAATATCTTTGTTGTCTCACATCCCAATTCAGTTGATGAAGGTGCAGACAACTTCTTGTCCGAAGCTGGGCAAGTAAATGAAAGTTGAGACTCATTGATATCCTCTAGTTTCCTTGCACTCCTGGAGTGACACAGCACCGAGATGTTAGTTGTCATATCCATGTCACATGAAGAATTATCAAGACCCTCAAACATGATGGTTTTGTTGCCCTCCGACAAGGCTGCATCTGCTTGACGACGATACGCTTCCAGGATACTGTTCTCTTTTTCACTGCAAAATATAAATATGGAGAAAAAGGAAAGATTTTAGTAAAGAAAAGAAAAATGTACAGTATAGTATAAGGTTTTAGGGCGCTCGCAACTGCTAAGGTCATATGAGCGCGCGAACCACAAGTTGTTCACTTTCGCAAAAGTTCACTTCACGACTGGTTAACTAATTTACTTTAAAATGCTAAAAAGTTAAAATATTTAAATTCGGTGTAAATACATTTGTGATTTAAAACAACTCTTTTAAGTAACAATAAAATTTTTTAATAATATCAAATTCACTCTACAACTCGCCATAAAGGCCAATGGCCTTTATAAAATTTCAAATTCTACTGGGAACAACGACGGAAAAAATATCCTGCAATTTCTTGCATTTATAATATTTCCTTCGGATCTCTCCAAAGTCTAGACATTCTGTTAAAATGTGTCTAATGGTAAAATCTGTGTCGCATCCGACACAGAACGGCTTCTCATCTCCCTGTAGGAGGTATTTGTGGGTCAGGGCCGTGTGTCCGATGCGCAATCGAGTAAAAATGACTTCGTCTCTTCTGGAGAGGTCCGAAGGATTTCGCTGTTCTAGTTCGGGTTTTATTTCATATAGTTTATTATTTTTCTGGTTTTCCCAGTGGCTCTCCCACAGACTGGAGGTGTACTTTTTGACTTTATTTCTAAAGTCAGTCTGTGGGAGAGTGTTTGTCGTTGATCCCAGCAGAAGGGATGAAGCTTTCTTCGCCAGGTCGTCTACCTGCTCGTTTCCTCGGATGCCCACATGGCTGGGTATCCATGCGAACATGATGTTTTTTCCTGTTTCGGATAGTGTGTGTATTTTCTGTTGTAGCCTAACTATTTTTGGGTGTAAGAGTGTGTAGTTTGTGAGTGAGGTGATGCAAGACAGAGAGTCAGAAAGGATAAGGAAAGATTTGTAAGGAGAATTTTCTACAGAGTCCAGTGCCATGTCAATGGCTGTGGCCTCCGCGGAGAAAATGGAGGCTTCAGGATGGAGTCTCCTCTGGTGTGTACTGTTGGAAGATAGGGCTGCGGCGCCCACTTCATTGTCTTTTTTGGAGCCATCTGTGAAGATGAGCTCCGCACCCGGGTATTTATCTATTAGTTTTTTGTATTCTGCTTGAAAAGTTTTGGTGTTTGTGCTTTGTTTGTGCTTTGTTTGTTGTGTGTGGTCAGCTGTAAGTCTACTTTTGCCTTGGTGAGGTGCCACAGAGGGAGGTCGGGGAAAAGAATTTGTTGGATGTCTTGTTTGGAAAAGTTTAAGTTTTTGTGCCATTACCTCAAAAAGCATACATCCTTTACTGAAGAGGAATTAATGTTTTCTTTTACATAATCTCATAACTATATTTATGGTAAAAACTATTAGAAATGGTATAATAACACTGAATTGTGCATTCAAATCACATACAAAAGCCAATTTCACAGAGGGGAAAATAGATGTTTAATTTCGTGAACATTTTCAGTAAAAATGGGGTGTAGCTGAAAATAAAACAAAAACTCCCAAATATGCAACTGGACATCTTTTGGTAACTTTTTATTCTCAACAACTTGAGCTGCCATTTGACTGCTTCTTATTTAGGCCTCCTTTTTTTACCCTGGGGGAAAGCTTTAAAAAACCTGTGTCATGACTAGAAAAGCACAGAAGAAATCCTCATAATTAATTAACCTGATTATTTGAGTATGAATGCCTGTGTTATACTTTCTGTGTATTTACTGCTTTTCACCAAGCCAGCTTAACCCTAGAAGCGCTCAGCATTTCACCGGAAGTAACCCGCCAAAAATGCCCCGCCACCACGGCCGATCAGTTGTAAACATGGGGGTTTGGCGGGGGGGAAACAGCTGAGATACCCGAAATGTTTACCTGCTACTGAAAAATGACCATTTACGGCTCAACGGATGATAAAAAGCATATATTTTCTTTAAGCTGATAGAACGAGCCATTCAAAAATGATCAGCGATCAAATAAATAAAAACAAAGCCGAGAACGCGATAGACTCAACAATTAGTACATCAGCACGGCGAAACAAGTGATAACACATAGCATGTGGTCGCTCAGCGGGACCGCGTCACTTTATCGATCGATATCTCGGCCAAGAGACGCACTACGAGGTCAAGATAATTTGCAAAGTTATTGGTCACTATTTATAACTTTGGCCTGTAATTGACTACGTCATTTTCCATATAAGGAACACTGGAATTTTCCATTGAAAAGGGTCAGCGTCTATGCCCTTTATATAGGGCCTGCGCGCTTTCCGGTCGAAGTAGGTCAGCCTTATATATAGGGCGTGCGCGCTTCCCGGGTAGCCCGGCTCATGCCCTTTATATAGGGCCTGCGCGCTTCCAGGTTTAATATCAAGTCTTCAGGTATCAAACATAATGTTAAGCAATGTTGGTGACACACCTTATAAATGGGTAGTCAATGAGGTGTGGTGTTGAGTAAGCCACAACCAAAGTAAAAAAAACAACAAAGCACTGCAATGTCTCATCCAGTAGCGAGGATTTGTTTGTGAACTTACACACTAAGTATGTCATAGCTATCTTTTTATAGGGATCAATAAAGCAGTTTCTCTTTTTATTTCAAAGATACATTGGAAAATGTATAAATGAATTTGCGTTAAAATATAACAAGCATTATCCACTTTAGAAGCCCAAGTATTAGATGGGTAAACGAAAATGAGTCTCATTAAGCTATCTCACGGAAAGCAACTAAAGCAAACAACTAAACATCACAAAGGTACAGCCAGTCCCGAAAACTGTTGCAGTGGCAAGTGTTTTACTTGATCCGCAACACGCACATTTGTTAATACAACATCAGGTACTTACATGGTACGATTGAGGTGAGCACCAGCTTGAAGCTCTCCTGAGACAGATCTGACTGACTGACCAGTTTTCCACTCAGAAAGGGAGGCCTGTAATATCGAGCAACAACAATGATTTGGATGTGAAAACATAGAAAGATGAAGAACGTGAAACTACATCTGTTAGCCTGGTTATTTGCATTTGAACATCATTTTTTTTATCTTTACTTCTGCAAATATTCATTTAGCTATCAATTGTAGCACATCATACATTTACAAACACTGGAGTGTTTGTGTCTTCAAGAGCACCCTCCCTTGTGTGCTGTGCATTTAGTACAAAAGACCTTTTCACCGCAATGGGTTAATTTCTTAAAATATTCTTCTCAGTCGAGGTACGTCACTTAAATGAAAAAAAAGTTTTTTTTAGTTTTTTGGGTTTTTTTTAAAACACGACTACATAAAAATAAGTGAGCTGAGATTGACAAAATTTTAACCTTTCAAAATCCTTCTAAGGGTTCCGCATGTGAGAAGATTTTTGTTTCTTGTGTATACAACGGCCTAATTGGTGACCCTACTCTTCAGCATGGCTAGTACAACTGGAAGCCATATTTGAGAAAAATATAACCATTCCTAATTACGAAACACATTCCATTAAGAGATCATAATGTTATAGAAATGTTCACATCTCATCACTAACAAAATGTAACAAAATTTATTTACTTCCAGCGATTTCAGAAAACGTAAAATTTCTACTCAATGAAATGCACGAGGCAACTAGATTCGGGTAAGTTCACATACCTGTGATTCATTCATTGCCCCGGACATTTCCATGACGGGCGTTAGAACATTGTGCGCAGGAATATCGGCGAGTGCTCGTCTCGAGGGCTCTGTGCTTATGTCACCGGTCATCTCCATGTCTTCTAGACTCTCGCTGAGGAGGGCACCTGGCACTGACCTGTCAGCGTCCGACATTTCTACAAAACTGCAACTAGGGGTTGTACTTTTCTTCTTCACTGCAGCAAACAGGTCGTCCAGGGTGCTATACTTCGACTTGACAATCAAGCTTTGTTGTTGATTTGTTGGCAGCTGAGCCGGCAGCAGGTCATCATTAACTGTTGTGATGTTCTTGGTTATCTCCATTGTGTCGCTATGCGTTTCTCCGAAAATATGTGTTGAACTAGTTATGTTTTTGGTTATCTCCATCGTGTCACTATGCATTTCTCCGAAAATATGTGTTGAACTAGTTATGTTTTTGGTTATCTCCATCGTGTCACTATGCATTTCTCCGAAAATATGTGTCGACCTTGTTATGTTTTTGGTTATTTCCATGCTGTTACTATCTGTTTCTCCGAAAATGCGTGTAATTTCAACAGGAACATCTCTTTGACCAAGAGGAGGTACGGTCTTATTTATGTTCTGGGTTAACTCCATTTCATTATCATCTTGTTGGTGGAAAATTTTTGTGGACTCTGGAGGAATATCAGCAGAATGGGCAGACAAAGCAACTTCTGAGGTGATATTTCGAGTGATCTCCATAAACACATGCTCCGTGGGTGGTTCTGGGCTGCTCTCCCCTGAGAAAGATGATTTGCGGCTGAAACCTGGTTTACAGAAGGGGCCAGCATCTAGCCCTGGAACTGACGCATCCTCTGTAAGATTGACTCCAGGGGGTAATTGAGAAATATTTGAAGTAAGCTCCATGGTACAGCCAGAATCATCATGGCTTTTGAACATAATGGTTCTGTTTTGTGTCGACACAGTGACTTCATTTCCATCATGATTTGATTTTCTGAAACAGGAAAAAACAACAACATATCTCTTTCATGACATTTGACTAGCAGTATCCTGATGTCATAGAACTAATCACCACAGAACGATCCAGTTTCATCAACTTTTACCGCCATATTCATTCGCATTCTAACTTGATATTATTGTAACATTTTAAAAACCTCGCTACTGAAAATTCTTCCTTGGGTAAAATTAATGACCAGATTAGAACCCCATATAAACAAACCTTGGCAACTGAAAACAAACTTTGATGCCAAAAATAAAACCCAGTGTCTACTCTGAATGCAGCAAACAATGAATTTATGTCATGTCGATGTATCACACTTATTTCTAAAAGATATGCCTCTAAGGAACAAAAAAAACAAAACAAAAAAACAATCTTTGTGATAAAAAAATGTTTCAATTCCATTTATCTGGAATTCTCTCCCTCAACATGTGAGGGATACAAAGTCTCTGGCAAAATTTTGAATTCATTTAAAAACATACCTTGTGAAATGCCATCTTGATAGTTAGTTCTTCTTATCCATTGAACTCTTATGTTAATAACGTGATGTACACACCATCATCGATTGTACTATGATAGTATGATTGTCTGATTATTTGCTTGCATTCATCTAAAGACAGTGCTTCCACCAGCTGAAGCAGAAAAGTAAGAAATTCTGCAGGGGGTCTCAAGCAGGGTCCAGGGAAAGCGCCCCGGTGGGGGTTCACCCCCCGAACAAATTGAAATTTAGTGCTCTTAGAGGGTTGAAAATGGCATTTGGAAGCCTGTTTGAAGAGATTGCCTGCAAACCATAACATTTATTTTTTCACCAACATTTTGTCTTGTTTGATTTCTTCACCAAGATCTACACAACAATATATTTCCATTGATGGCAATGTTTAACTCTTTTTATCCAGGCTACGAGTATACTCGTAACGAGGACCAGTCCGGGCTACGAGTATTCTCGGAACAGCGATACGGTCACGTCAAAGAAGCTAGTTCTGCTTGTAATTACCAAAATACGCAAACACGGCGATGCTAGCTCTGTCTGAATATTTTAATTTTCCAATGAACAGTGGTTTCTTTGTTTTTGATGGGTGTAGAAGCTTGAAAGATGTCTCGAAAACGCACATTCACGGCCGACGAAGTACTTTTTGAAGTGGCGCTGGGTTGTGAGGGGGGAATGATACTAATTTGATGAAAGTGACTCTGAAATAAGTGCCGCAAATTCCGTTGTGGATGATAAGAAACAGGACTTAGACTCATCTAATAGCGATTCAGATGATGGTGAAGGGGTCAGTACTGGAATTCGTGCTCGATGGGTAGGGCTAGATCTAGATCTATAAAATCCAGTGGGACGTCGTAGGCGCGGCAATCAGGGTCAAGTTCGAGGGTGGAATACACCTCAAAATCTACTTTGTGCTATTGGTGTATTTCCTAACTACATGCATTTACAAAAACTACATTCAATTTCTAACATAAATGCCAAATTTTCTTAAAATCGTAGCGAAAATGTAAGAAATATAGCACTTTGAACTATACGCACTGACTTCCGACACATACGGAGCGGCAGCCCCAGGACTGGTAGAGAGTCCGTGGGGGTACGGCTAGGATAAAAAGAGTTAAAAGCAGGTTCCCCTTCCATTGCTACTATAATTCAATTAATTTGGCATCGCACCATTGATAGAAGGTAAACCTGGGAATAATGAATAGATATGCACCTTCACAATACAGTTACCTGGCGTATACCCTAATGTTCCTTAAATTTCACGTTTGAATGTCGCATGTCACAACCTCGGAACACTACTTCGAATTATTCTTGATTTTAGTAGTTTTAGCATAAATTTCTTTCATCGCGTCCCTCATCGCGTTCCCGTGCCGTAGAATCTTCGTATTGATCATTTCTCTAGATCTAGACAAATTTGTAAAAAAGTTTCAGATCACAAGTCTATTTATTTGATCAATGAGCAGATTTTTCAGCCGCGGAAACAATCCGAAGATAGACGGAATGAGTGAATGATAGAAAGGAGGAAATTGGCACAAAAAGTTTGCCAGATTTTGATCAATCCACAGGTAAAAATGTACTGCAGACCAACCCACAATGAATGCATGGGGCATAGCGGAATAATGGCCGATTGCAAGAAATGCGCAATCTGATAGGTTTCTATAACTGTAACATTAACTTATTGCCGAGAGAATTACCGTAAATATCCGTAACTTATACTAGTACTAGATCAAGATGATACGAAGGCGAGTACGGATCTTTTGCTACGAAATTTCGGTAGTCCCACACTGTCGCAGCTTTTTACGGAGGGAGTTGATAATGATGGAGGAACAAGTACGGAACTGGCAGAAAGTACGGATTTCCATAAAAATACGGAGGAGCGGAAGCACTGTTAAGAGCATAAATGTATGCTCCTTCAGACACTTATATTTTTGTGTTTAGATGAAGGTATAGTAAAGCATTAAGAATCTACAGCTGAATTGTACGGAAATGAGCACTATAAGAATAATTTGCATTATCATTGTTAATTCCCAATGTACTGAAAGAAGATATTTCCGATATTTCAATAGTTCAGGTTTAGTTTGAGCAAAGGGAGGCACACCCAAAACAGGTGTTAATTAAGGGCTTCAAAAAGAAAGGACAATTGATAAAAACAACGGAGAAAAAGTATAGGAGAAGGACCTACCAGACACAACCATCCACCAATTTTAAAGAAATGTGGAACCCCTCTTAAAAATGACAGGAAGATAATTTCTTTTCAACTCACACAGTGTGCAATGACGCCTCGGCTATGTCCATCACTGGTACAAAGTGAGGCTGGGAGCCTGTGGTAGGTGGGAGCTGTTTAGGAGCTGCATCTGCAGCAGGTGACTCAAAAACATCCTGTTCCTGTGGAAAGGCATACATTTTGCTAGATGAACTTTTCTCCGACGCCAAGTGAATTCTAAATTTGCCTTTCAAACTACAGTTGAAATTGAATAGAGAAGACAAAATGCCAGAGAAAAAAATTATTGAGTGATCCAAGCAAAAGCATACATTTCATTTCACAAGATGAATTTTTATCTGACATCATGTTAGTTCTAAATCTGTCTTTTCAAATGACAGTGAAAATAGAACATGAGAAGAAAAAATGTCCTGGGAAAAAGATTCAGTTATCCAAGTAAAAGCATACATTTCACAAGATGAATTTTTATCCGACGACATGTGAATTCTAAATTTGCCTTTCACATTACAGTTGAAATAGAACAATAAGACAAGACAAAATGTCCTGGAAAAAAGATTATTGAGTTATCCAAGGAAAAAAAATCTGCTGAGAATCAATAAATGAGTAAAAGTCTGTATAGTTTTATAACAAAAATATTAATGAATGGAGATATGAAAAAAAAGAAAAAAAACAACTAAAAATTACCAGGTGAGAGGCCTCTGAAATAGCAGAGACATCCGGATTACTCCCAGTGCTGTTGCTACTCACATCGCTGATGTTCCATTGCCAAGGAGTTGGGCAGAATGTCCTGGACATGTCAAAAATAAAATTTTGCATTTGACATTCAGAAACTAGAATACAGACATCTGAAGTATTAGTTTGTGTTTTACATTATTTATCAGAGAGTATTTGTCTTAGTAATAATTTTACGGCACTTGCGAAACAATTAGATCATAAAAGTGCCGAAGATTTAAGGTGTTACAAGAGATTAACAAACACAAAAAAGGATGATAGACGTTTGATAGGAGAGAAGAAGCAAACCATACCAAAGCACCCACCAAACACCCACTTTAGAGAGTTTACTTCAGCTTCTTAGGTAACACATTGACACCAAAGGGATCATCGATTTTCTCTTTCCACACACCGTTCCCATTTCCGGTTATAACACAGTGTGCACTCTATTTTCATAGTAAACCAAACCAATTCTGTGGGGATTTCAGACATGTTGAATAGAACAGATGAGTATAATATACAGACACAAACAATTAATGAATAAAAATGTAAGCGCACTTAAAATTTCTCAGCACTAAGTTCTGTATCTCTACCTGACAGATGTAGTGCTTGCAAAGCTCACACGTCGAGGCGTCCTTGGACCTTCACCACTTCCATCTGAGCCCTGTCAATCAAAACTTCTATTGAGGGCATGCACTCTCTCAAATAAATGTAAAATTGCATAGCAAAATATCATTTCGATAACGTTTTGCGTATAATGAAATGTTGATTAATTCAGACAATCCAAACCACACGATAATAATGGAAGTCCCAGTGAAGCCAGTGTGAATTCGAAAGGCAGAAATTAGAAGTAAAAAATGTTCATTAATTACTATTCTTTTTAAAAAAATGATTTGAACAATTAATACAGTCAAGGAATCTGAATACTTTTACTATGTTAACATTGCCACTTTTGTTTCAATAACCAAAACATTATTATTGTACAAATATTACATATATTAGACTGTATGATTTGTACATTTCACTTAAATTTACCTATTAGGGAGCAAAACCCTGTATAAATGTCTGATGAATATATCAACAAAATAATTTTTCTTAAAAAAATAAGATGAGTAATTCATACAATAATAATTTTGAGCAAGTAGAAAGCTTAGACTAAGACAATGAAAGAATAAAAACATATTTACTCACCTCAGAAATAACACAAGTATCCTGTCGTTTCAATATCTGAGAGAGAAAGAAATATTTAGCCTTCCTTCATATAAAAGTACATAAATATTCTTCACAGGGCAAAACACAAATGTACACACTTCAATGGAATGTATTTTTTTTTAAATAGCCACTTGTTTTTTTTTTAACCTTTGAAGCCTTGGAGTCAGCAGCTGATCAATTTCAAGACTACATAAACTCATTCAGACACTAAATTTTACATTTTCCGTTTGTTTCCAAGTATATATCTAAAATCAATATGTCCTAAAAGTTTAAAAGTACGCCAAAGATAGTAGAGAGTTCACTAAAAAGGCACAAATTTTTGTAGAATATATCATACATTGTGCCTTTATTACAAGAATTAAATTCTCTGAAGAAAACATTGCAGAGAAATAGGAAGTAGGATAACCAGTGCGGCTTTCCATTAATTTGCAAAGCAAAACAAGATAATAAAAGTAAATGTCAGAGTCCAAAATGTTAAGCTCACTCTTTGCTTGCAACAGCAATGTAAGGTAATGTAATAATGGTTACCAATTTTCTTTTCATCTCTGTGTAAAGACAGTAAGGAGATATAAAAAAGCAAAGACGATTCTTAAGACTTCAGATTGAGTCACCAGCAGAAGCACTACTTTTGTTTCACTTCACAAAATAATTTTCACTCATATATTATCTTTAATGATTAACAATACACTCTCAATTTAAATTGTAAGGTTGCATTCAAGCTTTCAGGTTGGTTTTTAAAATTCACGAAGTTAAATGAGTAATCAAATTACCAAAATCTCAGAAACAAAAAATAGATTAAAAACGAAGAAAAAAGTTTATTTCAACTTACACTAGATGACCTCCGCTTATTTGACTTTCGATCTCTGAAACAAATTGGACAAAGCAAGTGTAGATGTTTATATATATTCAACATGATGTGAATTATGATTGATCAGAACTCCAAGCATACACACATCATTTTCTTTTTCAAGGACTAGGAACAAGAGACTGCAAGAGGAAGTAGCAAAAAAAAATAACTTACTAAATTACTTAAGTATCAATCATTAAGAGTAAAAGCAAAGCAAGTTTCTTCAAATAAACTCTTCAATTCAATATTAATATTATAAATTAATGCATTTCATTCGCGATTCAAATCTTTTATAGACAGTAAGTACATAACCAGAACTGAGATTCAAATTTAGACTAAGTTTAAGAATAAAAGCAATGAGTCCTCTCCATACCTTTCCATTTTTGTTCTCTCAGTCCAAAGTCAGCACTCACTGCAAAATCGAAGGCCTGTAAAAACAAAATTTTAGTGATAAAAACTTTGCCCAAATAAAAATTGAACAATAAAAAGGATTTTTTGAGAATCTACATTCCATTAATAATCTTGACAGTTGAAGAAAAAAGTCTTAAAATTAAATTATCACAACATTTCAAAGCTCATTTTAGTATGAATTACAGAAACATCTGATAGTAACTGTTTCTTACGGCACACTAAAACTTAATAAAACCCTGACAATACAAGCTTCACTGTCTACAGCTTTAGAAACTCAGACTCAACTCACCCTATGACTATAACAATTCTTTTCAAAGAGTCAAAAAGCTCTACTTTGTCATTAACTCTACTAACCTGCCAATGGCACAACACAGTAATATCAAACTACAGTACAGAGTAATCATCTCTTTACAGCCTGCACTTCTCAGGTACTAGCTCTAGATAGCAAATGGATCATAGTAAGAAAGAATCATCATTAGTTAATCCACACAGTTAAAGATAAAGTACAGCACAGAAAAATAGGCTTTGAAATTGTTGAGTAACTTTTATGTCATCGTCGATTTGACTGCCAAATAGTCAGGTATTATTTACTCGTAGACCCGTTTCATGTTCAGATATAAAGTACTTTTCCTATTTATTTTTCAATTTGTCTGCATTTCACAAATTTTGACTTTTTTATCCACGGCAAACTATTAGTTCATGAGATGTATGAATGTTTTTACAAGACCTGAAAGTAATGTGTCACGATGCGGTAGAATCAGACGCTCATCAATTTTTATGCATGTGGAATTGGTCTCCACTCAAAGCTGATTTATTTGCCTTGCACTTTCAATGAAATAAATATCCAACTATCTTGAATAGAACTCAAGACATTCGCGATTGAAGGAAGTGAGGTCGCCTGGCTTCAGTGGTGAAATTAGCAAGAAAATGGCCGCCAAACTCTGGAAACTCAAATAGTTAAAAGAGCCTTGAAAACTGAAAAATTACATATTTTGTGCCTTCAATCAACGTTTTTCAGTAAAATTCACTTTGAAAAGTGTTTTTATATGGACGTAAAAGAGCACGAGTCCAAAAATAAAAATTATATAAAAATGTCCACATTTCGGAAAAACGCCTGTTTCTCCGTCTCCGATTTCTATATATATTTTGACGAGCGCCTGATTTCATCACACTGCCTCACATATATATATACAATCATAATGGGCTTGAAACGGCCCAGTTGCATAGTAATATTTCACTCACTTCTAACAACATGATGGGGGTATCACTATCAGGGTGGGGGTCGGAGCATGCCCCTGCCCTAACTTAAAGAAAATCTCTGGGGTTTCAGGGGTGCATGCATGCCCTCCTGTATTTCACCATCATAACATTATTGGATTTTTGAATTGGGTTTGCTACTTTCTTGAAAAGAAAAATTGACGAGGGTTTTTGTGTAGGTACGTTTGTTCTGCAGCAAAAGATGAAGCAGTTTTGACACTAAAACAGTGCATTTCTGCGTGTGGGTCCAAAAGCCCAAATTTACAAAAAAAAAGCCAATTTTTATGTCAGTGCTTTCTTCAACTTCAAGAACTTACCCTGACCCCTTGCTGTAACCATATAGGGCTAGATTTTCTACCAATCTTTCTACATTATTCAATATTTAATCAAATTATAAGCAGATAAATAACAAAACAAAAAGACTACTACTGTCTGTAGTACTACTTACGGAAGGACTTCCGTAACGAACGATCACCCAAACACAATACAATAACGAAGAGACCTAACCCTAACCCAAACACTTCCCTACCCCTCTGACTGTCTCATACTATTTTGTATTATGTCATTATATACAGTCAAGACGGCCACCTGTACAAACGGCCACTTTCCATTTCCCCCTTGCGTATTTTCTATATAATTTAACTGTGTAAAACGGGCACCTGTCCAACGCGGCCACGGCCACCATATTTTAACACACAACCCCTATCACACTAAGCAATAACACCTGTCTTAGATGGCCATCTTAGTGACTCCATTACGTTTTGTCATAAATTGTGCATTGGCCCCTGGCGTTGGGGGCGTGCCGTCATAATTCAATCACCTGTCGTTGTTGTTAAGTAGTCCCTCCAACCGATCATATTGCGTAGGCCCCTACCACTGTTGACCCATAGCTACCAATTTTCAGCTGCTGGTGAGGTAAGCGTGTGATCCCTCATAACCCAAAAGCCCCGCCCAGAACTCATACACAAATCGTAAGTGAGAGGAGTGGTCGCTGTTTACCCAGTCTGTAACAAAGGACGTCAACATGAACTTGTGACAGAAGCGTCGCTCGTTCTCCGAGTGGTGGCGACCCATGTGTTTGTTCTAACATGGCACTCGGTCTTCCTCTTCTGATACATTTCGTTTTATTGTCACCCTTGTGCAAAATCAGCAACAAAATAAAAATTACAAACAAAATACAAACCACCACCACCAACATCAACAACAAAGCGGCTACTTTCGATTGGGACCACAGATGGGAATGGTTTGTTTTCTTCATCTTGATCAGTCCTGCCTAAGACGGCCACCTGTCTTATATACGGCCACTTTTCTCCTTGACAATGGGTGGCCGTCTTACACAGGTTTGACTGTATAGTCTAGATCTAGATTTTAGTGGTCACTCGTTACATGGAAGTCCTCCCCTACTTACTAAGTTATTGCTATTGTTAGTGTTAGAATCAGCGCTCTTTGAAAGTTATTTTCCTGTTCCATTGGCAGCCATTTTGAAACATAGTGTGCCATCACGTGTAAACGTGAAGACTATTTTTTTTTTTTATTACTTGCCCCCCTGAAACCCCCCACGCCCACTATTGCAGCCCCCCTGAAACCCCTCACTGTTATAGTTATAAGGCCTTCGTAGTTATAAACTCTGGGCAGGGTCCACCAAAGTTCAATCCGGCCAAAACAAATTTTTAATTTAATACAAATACAAAAAAGGTAGAAAAGTATCACTGGCTAATGTGGTAGGGTTCACTTAGCCTACATGGCCACTTTTGTCCTTTGGTCCTACTTTATATAGAATCTAGTAATCACTTCCGTTTCTTGTGTAAACAAACGGGAAGGCAATTTCCAAAGAACCTCCTAGAATCTGCTAGATAGGCATAGACAGTATAGATTTAGATCTAGAATCTAAGAGTCTAGAGACATAAAGAGAACAACCAAGTGTATATAGAACCCGGCAACCGGGAACAAAGTCACGAAGTATCTCTATGCGAAGTATACAGACCCGGTAGGGGAACTCTTTTGTGATTTCGGAAAGTTTCAGCGCCCAGACCCGGTAGTGTGGGTGTGTGTGTGTGTGTGAGAGAGAAAGAGAGAGAGAGGGGGGGGGGGCAGAGAAATAGAGAGGGTGACTGCTCGATGACATTGTTGTTTTCTTCAAATTGTGATTCCTCCGACTCCCAAACGGAGGAAAAACGATCGTTCATCGAAAAGACATCCACAATCTTCATTTAGATCTAGATCTAGGCTAGCCTCGAAACTAGATCAATGATTTATGTACAACTGTCTAGATCTAGACCTACTAGGCCATAGATCTAGAATAGAAGAACCTAGATTCTAGGTCTATCCTGAGCCAAGAGGCCTTGAAACTTTCCGAAACCAAAAAAGAGTTCCCCTACCGGGTCTGTGTATACTTTGAGACTTTGTTCCTGGTTACCGGGTCTGTATACACTCCCTAAGAACAATCAGTAATCTCAAGTCAATCAGCACTCACAAGTAATTACATTACTATAGACTATTACATTGTTAGTTCGTCAGGTCAAGAAGACCTCAGCCTCAGATGGTTGTGACAGAAATTGTTAAAAAGTGAAGAGACCGGAAGACCAGAGACAGAATACATATTAGATCTAGATCTACATAGACTAGTCTAGATTAGATCTAGATCTAGTCTAGAAATCTAGTACAAGTGCAAGTAGGCCTACGCCACGCCTTGCTGCCTTGCTGCGGTCGAGGTGGTGCTTAATGATATAATGCGGCCATCACTCGCCTCAGCGTCGCGAGTCGGAGCTGGGGTACGCGAAGCGAAGGAAAGGTTTTAGGATGAGTCAAACGTAAGCATACCTAAACCAGTATACCATACTTATTACAGCAACAAACCTACCATAAATGGAACCTTATTAACCCAATTAGGAGCTGCCAATTTTTAAAAAAACGATAGTCTTCATACAACAAATTATTATTATTGTTATGTCGTGACGCTTCCGCTTCTGACTTTTTGAGGTCTCTCTGCATTTCAAAATTTTCCGCCGGTTGTCGAACAGATTCGATACAATTATAATCTGTCGACTACTTTCCTAGTCATTAGAGTTGGAAAACGGCTAAATATATCGATACCTAATTTTTAACATATGATATCGATACAAAAGTTAATGCCTGTGTGATGTTAGACATTAGGTTCTGCTGTATTGATATTATTGTAATACATGTACATGTATTTTATTAGCCGACGTGTATAGGCCCCTAATATCATTCCTAAATTAGGGGCTCGAATAATTTCTTTCCTAAATTTATACTACTATAATAGTGCACTAGGATAGAAGCTACCCACTGTGCATAGATTGAGTCTGGTTGACTTGATTAATATTTTATGTACGTGAATAAGGCCTGGTAGATCTAAAATGGCCTGCTTATTTGACGTTACACTTGCGTCTCGCAGTCGCTCCGCTCCTCGCTTCTTTTTTTTCTTCTGTGTCTCGCACTCTGCACTCGCAACTCGCCTTTTCGAGTCTCTTGTTTGTAGGCTAGGCCCTACTGTAAAAAAAAAGTAGGAGAGATCGGGACAGTGTTTGATAGAAGGAGCAAACCACACCAGAGCACCCGCCAACCACTCACAAGCAGAGTTTACCCAAAAATGATATAGGCGGGCCTAGCCTACATTGAAATTAGATACAGTGTTGCCGTGCCTAAAACGCCGACGTCGAAGAGAAAAACATAATATTTTATATCTAGATCTATATATTTATATCGAAGTGACTGCATGTCTGCTTGTTTTCGGAATAGATCTATCTTAGAGATAAATTATATTCGGACTCTGAATTGAATCCAGCATAACGTCCGTTCCGACCCTATTTCCAGCATATCTCTCTCTCTCTCTCTCTCTCTCTCTCTCTCTCTCTCTCTCTCTCTCTCTAGTCTTTCTCTCTCTCGCTCTAGTCTCTCTCTCACACACACTCTCTCTCCCACACACACACACAATCTCTCTCTCTCTCTCTCTCTCTCTCTCTCTCTCTCTCTCTCACACACACACACACACACACACACACACACACACACACACACACACACACACACACATACACACACTCTCTCTTTCTCTCTCTCTCTCACTCGCTCTCTCTCTCTATACACGCATACAATCTCTCTCTCTCTCTCTCTCTCTCTCTCTCTCTCTCTCTCTCTCTCTCTCTCTCCCCCCTCTCCCTCTCTCTCTCCTCTCTCTCTCTCTCTCTCTCTCTCTCTCTCTCTCTCTCTCTCTCTCTCTCTCTGTGTGTGCTGTCAATATTTGATATGGCGGGAAGCACTAAGGATTATAATTTACTGTCTCTGGGTAACACTTTGCTGTGTGACTGTCACTCGGCAAAGTTGTTGGACATAATATTATCATAGCAAAATGTTACCTCCCGATTTTAGTGAACCAATTACAGCAGTGTGCCTTAACAGTAGCCCAGAAAAGAAGAGCAACATTTTCCACCTAATATTGTAGCAACATTTAGCTTGTGCAACGAAATTGTTCCTGAATACATGTATGTATACATATAATATAATATATTATATATTACCCCTTTGGCGACAACTTTTTTTCTAGGCTTTGAACAACATTCGTTGCTAGATCTAGAAATAATTGTCTGGGGGATTTTTTTCTATAAAAAACCCTGATTTACTGATTTACAGTAATTTACACTGTTTTTTAAACTAGCCTGTATACAAGTTCAGTGTGTGTGCTTCCATCCTCTGTTGTTATCTCCTGTTTAGGCCCAAAATACACGATGCTGAGTACACTAAGAGCCCAGTTCACACCCTCTCGCCAAATAAACCACCGTTTTTCAAGCCCGTTCACCGTTCCCCTCCTATCTAGGGGGTGGGGTGGGATATGGAATCTCGGCCCCTACGATTTTATGCGTAACGGTACAATACATGTACACATGTACCGCCTTACAGTTAAGCATTAGCTCACTTCAAAGTGGAGAAGCTGTGGTAAAGCCTCCGCACTGACGCTGTCAAATGTTCTTACTTTCCGACTTAACGGCACCATTACATACTGACTATTATTACGACTCATGCTTCTGTGTGTGTGTGTGCGAGTGTGTTTGTGTGTGTGTGTGCGTGCGCGCGAGTGAGATTGTGTGTGTGTATGTGTGTGTGCGTGCGTGTATGCGTGTGTGTGTGTATGTGTGTGTGTGTGTGTGTGTGTGTGTGTGAGAGAGAGAGAGAGAGAGAGAGAGAGAGAGAGAGAGAGAGAGAGAGAGAGAGAGAGAGAGAGAGAGAGAGAGAGGGGGGGGGGAGGGGGAGGAGTAACATTAATATTTCTCATTTCTTTTTAACAGTTCTGACCCCTCCCCACCCCCTTAGAAATTCAACTAAAGCAACAACGTCTGCCTAACAGCAACAAATTATGCTTGTTTCCCGAAGGTGTTGCTGTAAGGCGGACACCACTGGACGTTAATGTGTAAGTTTGTTGGACACGTCATTAATAATTTGACTCCCGCCCGCAGGAAAATCACAAAGGCAAAACAGGTTTTGTAAATAAATCTGTTTTTGTTATTGTGTTATTGTTTTGAAGTGTCTGTTTGCTTTCTGATGGTATAGCACCCTTAATAACATTACGTCATTTAAGAGTTTAATGTCCATTTCCAAAAGGACCCAGCCCAAAAGGAGATTGGTGTAAACGTAAAGTGTCTTCCACAAGGAGGCGGTGGGTGGTGGAGGGGAGGGTGGGGCACAAACGGTGGAGTGGCTTCTAATTTGGTGCAGCTTTTCAGTTAGAGTTTAGGCCTACAAGTGAAGACAACATTTGCTATATGTTACCGTTATTCTGAGCCTCAACCCTCTCATCTTTAATCTAACCTCATTTCAGGCTTCAGGCCTGTCTCGTTTCTTTCTGAATTTGGTGAGTAGTGAGTAGTGTTTTTTAAACTTAAAAAAAAAAGTTTTGTTTTTGATAGGCCTACGTGTTTTACGGCACTGGCAACTGCATAAGGTCATATGAGCGCGCGTGACAAATTAAATATTGGGTGACCTTATTTAGGCCACATATGGCCTAAATAAGCTAAACCCCCCTCCCTTACCTTATTTGGGCCACAGGTGGCCTAAATAAGCTAAACCCCCCTCCTTTACCTTATTTAGGCCACACCTGTGGCCTGAATAAGCTAAACCCCCCTCCCTTACCTTATTTAGGCCACACCTGTGGCCTAAATAAGCTAAACCCCCCTCCCTTACCTTATTTAGGCCACATATGTAGTCAAAATAACCAAACCAATGTAAAGCATTGTTTTCTTTACAAGTTACGTTATTATCTCTTTAAAACTCTTCACATCCATTTTCCTTCACAGCCGTATCGTACATGACATGTGATGTAGAATCAATTTAAGGTCCTTGGAAAGGTGACCAGAAAATAACAAAATTATTTTATGATCTTCATTTGCACTTGCAATTTTTTGGACAAATTAAAGTCTACCTAATTATATTTTTTCCCCTCATTTTTCTTCACTATAAATGACAACTGGCATGTATTGTTTTCAGTTATTATCAAGAAAGTGGATAGGCGGACTACGGGGTCTATCTAGCCAAAAGGATAGGTGGACCCCGGGGTCTACCTAACAAAATGTTAGGTTTTAGGATGTGAACCCCGGAGTCAGCGTAGTGAAATAAGTAGATCTAGGTTTAACTAAGGATCGGTGGACCCCGGGGTCAACATAATGAAATAAGTAGATCTAAGTTTATTTTATAATAGGACTGGCGGAGCCCGTGGTCAAAGTAGTGAAATTATAAGTAGATATAGGTTTAATTAAGGATTGGAGGACCACGAGGTCAATGTAGTGAAATCAGTAGATCTAGGTTTAATTAAGGATTGGTGGACCCTGGGGTCAATGTAGTGAAATAAGTACATGTAGATAGATCTAGGTTTAATTTTAAGGATTGGTGGACCCTGGGGTCAATGTAGTGAAATAAGTACATGTAGATAGATCTAGGTTTAATTTTAAGGATTGGTGGACCCTGGAGTCAACGTAGTGAAATAGGTAGGTTTAATTAAGGTGAACCCCAGGGTCTACCTAACGAGACACTAGTTAGGTTTTAGAATAGGTGGATCCTGCGGTCACCGTAGTAAAATAAGTAGGTTTAATCAAGGTGTCCCGGGGGTCCACCAATCCTTAATTAAACCTTCTTAATCCTCTATGGCCTTGGTGACTCCGGGTTCCACCAATCTTTAAAGAAACCTACTTATTTCACTGCGGTGACCCCAGGGTCCACCTGTCCTAAAACCTAGTACCAATCCTTACTTAAACCAAACCTTATTTCACTACGGTGACTCCGGGGTCCACATCCTAAAACCTAGTATTTCGCTATGCAGACCCCGGAGTCCACCTACCCTCTACAGGACTATACTATTATTATCAATTTGCAATTTTCATTGATTAGCATTTTTGTTTAAATATAATATTGAATCAGAGTGCAGGGGAGACCGAGGCGCCCGGTCGATTCGGTGGTCGGCTTTTGTAGATCTATGCATTTTTTACGGAAAGCCGTATTACCTAACCCTATTACTAGATCTATTAGTGTTGTGAAAACTTCAACCTCTACAGCTCAGGCGTCAAAAGATGCTGGTAAATAATAATAGATCTACGTCCTGAAGTTTCATAATTTATTTTTATGTAGAATAACACAGTACACAGTCAGTAGTTTTTATTTCATCGAGTTATAAAAATGGCCTTCGTATAAAAATTGCCTTGTTTTCAGAAGCAAGTTTTAATAGTTCTAGTTCTACCTAATCGATTTTCATGCGAATTCAACTATTTTGATGATCTTTCTTTTCCTTTTAAAAAGATGTAGATCTAGGCCTGCCGGATGTGGCAGTGCGAATTGCACTGAGTTGTTTAGATCTAGATCTAGATCTAGACCCATCAAAACACGAGGCTTCGTGGCCGATCACAAAAGTCTACGGGGCTTATCGAGGCCGATTTGCCCTGCCGCGAGCACGTTCACTAAACTGCCTACTAGATAGAATCTACTACCAAATATTCTCTACACGATCTTTGCTACTACTACTACTAGGCCTACTAGCCTACATGTACTACTACGAGACAGTACGAGAGAGTGTCACTCAGGCAAAGATAGTGTAACTTTGACTCAGCCACGTAGTATACACACTTTTTATACCCCAAATTTAACCCGAAAGTCCATTCGGAGGATTTGACCTTTTCACTTGACCAAAGTGTGCCAAAATGGTAGCCTAGCTTTTGCCCCTCCATGAAGGAAAAATCCGGCCCTCATTCAAACCATTGGAATTGAGCAAAATTTTGCGTTTTGTGCTTTGTTCTTTACAATATTCATTATGGTTATGATTTATAAGTTGTACACTGAGGCAAAACCATACTAAATGAGAAAGGGGCACCATTATGAAAGTGGAATGAACTCAGTTGCCTGAAAAGGGTAGTTTGAACATGTGTGGCCTAAATAAGCTAAACCCCCCTCCCTTACCTTATTTAGGCCACAGTCCACTGTGGCCTAAATAAGCTAAACCCCCCTCCCTTACCTTATTTAGGCCATATGTGGCCTAAATAAGCACTCCCTTAAATATTTTCAGTTGAAGGGAAATTTTTAATTTTGCTCTGGTGGCGGCCGAAGCCTACTTTTAATCTTAAGTCTTAATATCTTATCGATTTGGGACCACCAAGTGATCTTTAACGTGCGCAACTTGCACACGAGACCTTCGAGATTCGCGCTTATCCGAGAAGGCTAGGTGTATTATAAGATCATGTGTGTGTCTGAAAAACAGCATTTAAGAAGGAGCCAGTAGCAGTAGAAAAGGCTGCAGAAAGAGTCAGGAGCCCAGAGGAGGGGGCAAAGGATGTGGGCAGAAAGTGGAGACGAAAGCAGACGACAGAATATTGTTAGAGAGCAGGAAAGGAAAAGTTTTACTGTCGCCGTCGGATCATGCGATTGTACGGCCGCGTTTTTTTTCGCGTAATTCTGCAGCCTTTGCATAATTTTAGACTCCCCGCATTTTTCTTAATTTTTCACCTGGCTAAAGGGAAGTACTTCCTGGTTGAAGCAAATTATAGAAAACAACTTATCACGAATATAAGAAAACGACAGGCAAATTTGTTCGGATACACAATGCGGAAAGAAGCATTAGAGAACATTGTAACAACAGGAAAGTTTGATGGAAAGAGAGGTAGAGGCAGACAGAGGGAAAAGATACTGGACAAGATGACAACATGGCTGGGAGCAGCAAGAACAACAGACACCATTGCTGCTTCGAAAGACAGATGGAAGTGGAGGTCCATGATCGCCCACGCCAGTCGGCAAGGCACCGGATGATGATGAAAGGGAAGTAATCACCGTAATAAGTCTCATTTAAGTGATAACTTAGTTATTTCCCTTGTTAAAAGATCTTTGTTGAGTGTCAGGGATTTTGTTCCTTGGCCATGTTCAATTGCTCTCTCCATCAAAAGTTGTTTTCGTCTGCTGATGTTTCAGTTTCAAGTTTGACAGGTGTCCCTAGTTTTAGTGATGTGCCAGCATCAGAGGTCTAGATGTCCTTTTACTTAAAATTTTTTTTTTTAAAAACATTTTTCTTACCTCCAGATCAAGATCTAGATCTATAGCTGAAAGTCACAGAGATTATATTTTTTGGTTGATTTTTTTCTGACAGATGCTTATTGTTTTCTTTCCAAATACACAACAAATTACTGATACTAATATTTTCTGTTTTCAAATTTTCTGTACATAAAACATAAAAATTCTAGTTGAAAAAGGGCAAAACATGTCGCGAATGGTTTTACGGTAACTTGCATAATTTGAGCGAAACTTTGCTTCAATTTTCTTGCATAATTTGGCCATCTAAATTTGCATAATTCTGTGGAGACAGATTTTAGAGAAAAAAATTGTCCGTCGCTGTCCGGATTCGAATGCGGGACCAAATGAATGAGAGACGAACACCTTAACCTCTAGACCACGAAAGCCCCCTGGTGAATAGTGTCTTGTGCTTGGGTTGGAGTTAAGGACGCGAAGAAAAACTAGTGTTGACTGGCTTATTTTGAGGAGAAAGGGGGCAGTTTTGTCAGGGTGCCCATTAGGGCCTATAGTACCTGGTACTGGGACAGCTGTGTGTGCATGGATCCGAGTCTAGACAGCTCGTTTAAGTTGTTTGACAGCGTTAGGCGCAAAACAAAAAATAAATCAGTAGAACTGTTTTGCAGCCTTGCTTTCTACTCTTGAGATTTGATTTATACACGTGTACCACTGACTGCATCAGTGTAAAAAAAAAACCCCCACAAAAAACTTGAGAAAAATATGTTAGAAAGAATAAAAGTAGATCTAGAAGCATCGATTGTCAGTGTTCTGGATTAAAAATTTGAAAAGTAAGTACCATAAGTTTACAAGCTCATTATAAATCTGAAGTGGGAGCCGGAGTTGAAAGTGACAAGCATCATAACTTGAATATCAGAATTACATTTAGTTCATTTGAAAGAAGATCCTTCAATACTGGTGTGGACCCACTCCTCTTAATATTAATACTGTGAGTATATTCTATTTTTCAGTAGCCTACATTGTGTTACACTGTGCAGTCGAATGGCTTCCTGTATAAGGCAAACACCCGTTCAAACGGCCACTTCCCATTTTTTCCCTTGCACTTGCATGTATTTCGTACATTGTAATGACACTGTATAAGACACCCACCTGTATAAGACAACCACTTTCCTCCTTGACAATGCGTCGCCTCACCTCCTTGACAATGCGTCGCCTCAGAACTATTTTGTCCAACGTGCCCTCTTTACTTATGTACACTTTAGACAAAATATAGTTCTGAGGTGACGAATGGGTGGCCATCTAAGAGACTTAGACCATAGTAGTTGAAACATTTTCTTGCAGCACATTTTCACAAATTCTTCACAGAGATTTATGTTGTGCTTGTGCAGGGCTGTGCTTGTGGATGGTGGTCAGTCTTTATAATAAAAGTGACAGATGTCCTGAACTTCAAAATAAGATAGCTGTTTCTTTTTCCCAGCACAAACATGTGCACCCTACCATCTACCCCTGCTATTTGCTGACCAAGATGGACAGAAAAAAAGTAAAGCATGAGTAAGAGGGCCTTTCCAGTAAAAGGAATGTCAATTTTTTTTTCCTGCTGCTAGTAAAGCTTAATCAAGCAAGTCTTTCTAATGGGCAGAATGTCTGACTTACTGCTAGTGAATCTCAGAGCAACTGAGGAAACAAAACCATAAAATATTTTTTACAAACATAAATGATAATGAACTATAATGGACAGTCATAAAATGTTACTATTTTCGTCATTAGTACTCTCTGTACAGTAAAACAATTGTACTACTTTTTACTAGTGCTACACGTTTATAGAGCGCTGCTTCACTTTTCTAAAGCCCAAGTCCAAGGACAGCTCTTCCGAGTACTACGGTGAAAAAAGACGGGCAAGTTTTGTGTAAGAAAACTGTGTGTTAGACAATGGTCCCACTTTATCTCTGACAAGTCAGCTTTATATTAAATGTATGATAATTGGAAGATACGGATGACAGTCCGCAGACTCTAAACTAATACATAACATATATAATAAATAAACAAACATGTATATAATACAAAGTAAACGATACAAATGTATGCCATGCAATTTTTCCCTGAATCACAAATACTTTATTCATAAAGGTTAAACAAAGGTTTATTCAAAAGTTCATACGCATCAATTGCCATTCATTCCAATCACTTTGGCACTGTGGCTTATCATCACTCACTCTCTCCTATTCATAAACTCTGTACATTTTAAACCCATGCCAATATACATCTACAACAAGATTCATTCCCCCCAGCCGTCCAATTTTATATTTTATTCAGATTTATTTTGAGCTTCACACCACTAAAGACGCAAAATAATAGCAAACCAAGAGGCAGGAAGCCAGATAAGATAAAATTGTACGAAACAATAAAACATAGATCCCCCCCCCCCCCATCAATTCAATTACAAAAGAGAAATCATATATCATCACTGTTGCGAGAAAAATGAGTCATTCTTATGGTTCTTACTCACACTCACACAGCAGAGCAAAGTCAAACTGACTTGTTCATTTTTCTCGCCACAGTGACGATATCTGTCAGCAGCTTGAGGAATATTAGAGTTTATCTTGAAATAAAAAAAGAAAATTTTTAAATCTTTATAACGATCACATAAGTTTTATCAAAGGCAAAATGCTTTTTGCTTACAACAATAGAAATAAATCAAAGTCTGATCACCCTGTTCCGGACAATAAGCAAATAACATTGGAATCTATGTTATTTATAACTTGTTTTATTTGTTTAGTAAGTGTTTTACGGCACTTGCAACACAGTAAGGTCATATAAGTGCCGAAGATTAGAGGTGTTACAAGAAAGTAACAAACCCAAAACAGAAGAAGGGGAGATAAGGACGATAGATGTTTGAAAGGAAAGAAGAAGCAAACCACACCAGAGCACCAGCCAACCACCCACATTTATAACTTATAATAACAGCAGCTCTATTGCATATAATAATAATAATATATTTGCATTGTGTCTCAATCACAAGAACAATGAGAAATATGTTTCTTTTTTTCATTAGAAGTACAGAAAAAAATTAAAAGCCATTTATTTGTTCCTGATAATGAGTGATACGCATTAATAATATATCTGTAACAAATCAACTGCTCAATGTAAGACTCTATTAGGTCACTGTTCAAAATGGCGTAAGGCAGAGTCATACACTAAGCAGTCGAAATGATTTGTTGCTTCTCACGTAAATTGTCGTAATGCTGTAATCACAATAAGAAAATAGCGCAATATCAAGATTGAAAACTCTTTTAGATGAATCTTATATATTATGCAGTCACAAGTGATTTATGAAAAAGAATAATATAATAAAGGAAAATATCTTATAAACATTGAAACAAAACAAAAACCAACAAAAACAAGATAAGAAGACAACAGCAATCCCCTCCCCTCTCAATTAAAGAATTAGATCTAGCTTTATTTTTTAAAAATTATACTAATGGAAAAGTGGTTGTAATCATCCAGTAACAAAGCAAACTTTTCAAAATGCAAAGGAAAGAGCATTCTTCTGCTCTTTTAAACTAAAAGCTTTTGGTTTCCAATAGTAAGACAAAGAGAAAACTGTGCTTAAATTAGACCCCAAAAGACAAAAACAAAACAAAAATAACCAAGAAAAACAACAAAGAAAATCATCATGTAAAAACACCAAAAAACCCCAAACCAAAAAACTCAATTTCAGGGTAAAATCGCTCTATACCCTGGTTGTCTAATAGTTTTGGCAATATGAGGCAAGATCACTAAACTGAACCTTTGTTTAGTTGCCAGCAAATAATTCTTGCCACTAATAAGAATCAACAACAGTGATCCGGAAAATGTAACTCATGTCAGTATTATGTACGGTACTTTGTGTTGTCATTTGCTTGTCTGCAATGGTGGGAAAACAAACTGTCCAGAAAGCTGCAACTAAGTTCAGAAAAAAGACTTTAACTCAGATATGATTCTCTTAACATTAAACGCCTTGAAGGTAAAAACAATTTAAAATAAATTGTTTCATGTCTGCTACAAAATTCTATATCAAACAGGTTTTTCTAACACAAATTTGCTAGAACGATCACGTACAGATTTCAGTATCTGAAACTACATTATGTCTCTGTGGTCCCTCCCATAACTTGGGGGAGGGGGAGGGGGGGATGCACAATTGAGAGGACATCAAAATTAGGTAAAATATCCCAAGAACCAAAATATGTAACAGATAGCATATTAATCTGCTATACCCACAAAACACCATGGAATCACATGACAAAAAGGGGAACAATTAATCTGTTCTACACATTGTGACCCCAGTGCTTTCTTGATGTATCTCCATTTTTTTAACAGTGAAAATGTGACTACTTTTTAAGCTCACTCTTTGTTATGAACTGTTTTCACTATTGTTAAAAATGGAGATACGACAAGAAAGCACTGAGGTCCCGACATAGTCATAGGTATAGGTATAGATCTATAGCAGCCAAGATGAAAAAGCTGAATGCAAAAATACCAATGAAATACATTTCACTTCAGATAACACCCTTTTCGTGACTGCCCTCATTGAGGGGTTGCTCCACTTGTGCCAATTGCAAAACGTACTCTTTTTTGGTTGCTTAAACACATTCTATAGATTATTTTTTTCTGACCCCTTTTTTGTCTTAATTTTGAAATACAACATGTCTACTTTACTTGGTAAAATAAGTCAGGTAATTAGCCTCTCCAAACACCACCTTCAACTTGTCACATAAACAACACACTGTTCTAGCACAATGGTGGAAACCCACCCCCAGCAGGAAAACAGTTACAGTGTTCATGTATGTTTTCCACTCTCTACGTGTTTGTGTACGTTATAGTGTTGACAGCTGAACTCAGCTCAATTGGGTGCAGGACGTTGTCATAAACATGGATGACATAGCTCTCTTGCTTATCCGGAATCTCTATTCGATGTTCGGTGTGAGTTGGGATCACCTGTTCTGTGTAGTATTGAGGCTCAGGTACTGAAGAAAAAAAGAAATGTGAGTTATAGTTACTAAATGCATAACAGAAAGTTTGCTTAAGTTAGAAGCATACCCACAAAATAAAGGTTGATAGTACAGGGGGAAAACAAAATGGACACGTAGGAATAAGAGGAATAGTGCAAAAAATAAGGTCTGCTTGAGGAAACCCATCCTTAACTTCAAAGAAAGAAACCATGTCACAGGATGTATTATTTATGAAACCCACTTATGTCAAAATACAAGGTATTTCAGATAAGTGTTATTTCTAAAGTCAATATTTTCCTTTCAAATTCAGTTTCATAAATTCAATTTGGATTGAAGCAAAATTAAAACGAGTGTTTAAAAAAAATATTTTATATAATTTACTTGTATTTGTTAATTCCTAGATACTCGCTCCCAATACCTTGTGATTCCTGGTTATGAAATAACTTTTAAAAAGTCCATTTACGTTCAAGAGCAAAGCAAAGATCTTTACAAAAAAAGTACACGAAAATCATACCTGAGTGTGGGGGAGGAAGCGGAGGAGCAGGGGGAGCAGGAGGTTGATCAGCCTCCATGGGTGGGATGAACTGCTTGGAGACAACTTTAATGTCTCTGTGGACCCGTTTCTGATGCTTTTTCAGAGTAGAACCCAACCTAAACGCAGATCCACAGATGTTGCACGGGTAAGGACGCTCATCTGTTACAGAAAAAAATATGTAATGAAAATAAGGGAGTCGGAGGGAAACTTCTCGGAAGACATGAAGACAAACTGCTGTAGAATTTTTGTACACTGAACAAATGGTAGAGAAACAGTAATAGAAGAGAAAGAAATAATTTCAAGTTGGTAAATAATTATCACCCCAGCAGACCCTTGAACACTTTGAAACATTCTCAGCTTCTTGAGGAAGATATAGTTTATTAGAGATTCTAAAACACTAGAAACTAGGAACAATTGGAGAAAAATACGCGTTTACAAAATACATTAACTCACTGGTCACTGGGCCTTTTTCGGGTCTACATGTGCTGAAGACTGGCATTTTTGGGGGTATTTCAACATTTCAAACAACACCCTTCCCAAAGTCATACAACCACCATTTTTACACACATAACAGATAGAATCTAAACATGCCCAATATGACACAAAAAACCTGAAAGGCAATATCTTTTATAGTTTTTTTAGAAATGATTTTTTGAAAATGTGCTAACATTTGTTGCTCGTCAAAATTTTTTGACGTGATGTCTTGAGTGCCCCCCCCCCCCAAATTAACTTTGTGCGTATCTTTTATTGTGTTTTGTGTTTCAAAATAAATAAAAAGTCCAAACTCATGAATAGGCAGGTAATCGGTATGGTAATCCTTATGTATTCGTTGTCTAATCCACTTCAGTGTGAAAAAAAACAGGACTCCAGACAAAGCGGAATTTTGCATTTGAAAGCCCAGTCTAGATCTTGAACATTCTCTATCAGAATCAGTGTTTTGATGCTTATTTACATTGAAATCAAGATCCCCATGGTCTAAAATATCATATTCATAATTTTCTGAACTGTCAAGGTTGACAAAAACTTGAAAAATGTTTGCGTTTTTGTGCTGCCAAGTGGATGCCAGAGCGGGTGCTCTGGTGTGGTTTGCTCCTTCTTTCTTATCAAACAATTCTCATCCTGATCTCTCCTCCCTCTTTTTTTATGTTTGTTACTCTCTTGTAACACCTAATCTTTGGCACTTATATGATCTTATTGTGTTGCAAGTGCCGTAAAACTCATACTAAACCTAAACGTGCTGCCATTATACTGACAAAGTGATGCGAGAACAGACAAGTGAGAGAAACGAAAGTAGGGCATCAGTTTGACTAACTTTCCTTCCGGGTCGATAACTCAAAAAGTATTCGGCCAATTCCGGAGAACCATAGCACAAAACGAAACAAAGGTCGGCTGCACGGTAAGAGACAGTTCACGCAGCGTTTGTGCACATGCTTTGCCGAGGAAAAAACGCGAAACTTGTGCTCGCAGGGGGTGCGTGAACCACCTCTCGGGAAAATATTGGTGCTCCCAAATGCTGCGTGAAACGTCTCCATTTAGTTAACCTTAAGTCTACATCAGCAACAGAAAACAGTAAAGAACACTTCTTATCAGTCTGTGATACCATTGTAAAGAGTTCATCAAAGTTCACGCAGTGTATAAAACGAAGCTACTAAGGTGACGTACCTGTATGAATGCGCTCATGACTGACTTTAGTGGAGCTGCGGCTGAATCTCTTCCCACAGTAGCGGCAAGAATATGGCTGCTCTCGGGTGTGGGTACGGTGGTGGATGCGAACCTCAGACCCAGTCTTGAATCTCTTGTCACAGTAGTCGCATTTGTGGTCAAAGTTGCCGCTGTGGTTTTTCATATGGGTCACTAAGCTGCCCCTGCTTGCGTACGACTGTAATGATAGATATGAAATAAAAAGAAAGAATTAAGCAGAGCAATTCCACCTTCAGAAAACAATCTCCACCCAGTCATTTAATTTCCTCAAGGTGGAATTGCTCTGCTTGTTTCAGAAAAGAAAAGTACATTAACTCACTGACTACTGGCCTCTTTCACCAGTCACTAGCGCTGAGTACTGGCATTTTTGGGGGTATTTCAAAACACCCCCACAACTCTTAGAATTACCCTATTGTAATTACTTTTTGACACAGTAAATAAACATTCAAACTTAATCTACTGCAAAAAATGTAAGTTGTCTAGGTCTAATACTTTAATTTTTATGATTAAAAAAAAATTGGCATGAATTTGATTTTTCAGAGAAATTTCCAGAGACGTGACAGATAGAATGAAATTCACAACAACAACAAAAATAAAAGTTCAAAGTGTTCTGTTTTGATTTGTATCCATGTGTGAGTGTTTGGTGAAAATATAAAAGCTGGTCTGTGCGTTTATTCAGACCCATACACTGAACTACATGAGACAGATGTAGGGAACGAAGTTGTGATTTCGTCGCACGAACAACAACACCAGTTCCAGTGCTAGATCTAGCCCTAAAAATATGACTTGGGCCGTGTTTGGGTACATATCCAGGGTTTTAACTACAGTGGAATCCTGTTATAACGATAGGGAGAAGACCGGTGCGAAATGCCTGTTACAGCAGGATTCTCGTTACAAGGGATCCAGTAATAAATTCAAGGGAAATAGTAAAGTAGGCCTAATCTATGAGTTTGGCTTTCTGTTTATTCCTTTTTGTATTTCCCCTGATGAGGATTTTGTTCAACATGATCTCTAGGTCTTACTTGATCAAAAATCGAATCAGGTTTCTTTCTCTAGCACTAGCAATGTTGACAAATTGGCGTTGGTGATCAGAAAGAAGGGGCCCTGGCTCTAGGCCAACTCACCCGCTATGTTGTTCCCCACCTCACCACACCCCGCGGTGCGTTGCATCTGCTTGGGCACGTCACACATTCACTCCATCTATCACAGCATTGTGACCTCTCCATCCCACACCAGAGAAGTGACAGGCACGGTAGGCCTATGACTAGATAATGTAGAATGGGCTGGCCTATCACGCGATGTGTTCTGCTTATCTGCGCATATCACACCCTCCCCACTCATTCGCTCCGGCCTTCATTGTTGGTTTGCGTGGGCTCTCCCATTCTTTGTTTCGCTGGATCACCAACAACTTTCTCAACTGGCGAGGTTTTATATCATCTTTAATTAGTCTGTGCGCTGTGCACAGCATCAGCAATATATTCCTATATAACCGACTTGCGTGACTGTCTGATTGCGCAATAGCAGTATTTTATTTACAAAGATAAAGAAGGGGAAAAAACGGGGTTTTAGAATAGTGTCTTATAACAGACTTCTCGTTGTTTCAGGACTCGTTATAAGTGGACTCCACTGTATCAGACACATCATATCCTGAGTCACTAGAACTAGCAAAATGAACAGAAGTATCGAAAACAGCGAAATTATGTGATTCTTGTTCATGCGACCGTTACTTCGACGCGACTGTCAGATTACTATCAGCTGTATAGAAAAAACATAGCGCGAGTTCCGGTCAGGTCAACCCCAGATGAGGTGACTGTCCTTCACCTTCAATTACTTAAAAAGTTACAACGAAACTTCCGTCAAACTTGGCACGAAATGAAACAAGTGGCAAAACTAGCACTGGAGTCTGTTCCCGTACATGTGACCGGAGCACAAGATATGGAACAAAACCGCAAAGTCCACCCCGTCGGGGGTACGGGATCTGTACCTGCCAACCGCCCGCCTGCCCCGTACCCGTGACGGGAACCGTAGTCAGTGAGTTAACATGATAACAGTCTGTCATTTAGCGCAGGGGAAAAGTAAGACAGACAGACAGAAACAGCAGAGGGAAAAAAAACAGAAGTGGGACCTACTGGCGGCATCCTTCAACAACCTATGAATATAATGCCTCTCACTCACTTATACTTGATATGTATATATATGAAGTAACCAATCAAGTGTGTGTGTGCATGTGTGTGTGTGTGTGTGTGTGTGTGTGTGTGAGAGTATGTGTGTGTATGTGTGAGAGTATATGTCTCTGTGAGTGTGTGCCTAGGTGTGTGCACGCACGCGTGTGTGTGTCTGTGTGCGTGCGTACGCGCGCGCGTGTGTGTATACATACCCGTGGGCACAGATCACAGAAGAACCGTGTCCAGTTGTGGTCAAACTTGTGAATAGCCAAGTCGAACTGTCGACTGAATGTCATCTGACACTTGTTACAGCTGTACAAATTTCGTTCTGCGGGAAGAATACACAGACAAGAAAATTTGTTAGGACTTCTATTACACTGGAAAACAAAAACCCCCCTCCAAAAACCCGATAACTCAGATGGAATTTACAACATTATTAGTCTAGTTTCAGTTAGAGTTTATGGTATTTGCAACACAATAAGGTAATATAAGTGCCGAAGATTAGAAGTGTTGCAAGAGAGTAACAAACAAAAAAGAAGGAGGGGAGATAAGGACAATAGATGTTAGATAGGAAAGAAAGAGCAAACCCCACCAGAGCACCTACCAACCACCCACACAACATCATTAATATTTTAAAAATCATACAGCCAGGAAACGTTAAAAAAACATACCCCAAACCCATATAATGATAGTGATATAAAGGAGGAACTTTTGTCAGGAATGTGGAGCTATTTTCAGAATATGACTGTAATATTACAGTGGAACTGGAACTCGGTTTCAACAAACTCGGATTCAACGAGAACTCGTATTCAAAGAAAAAAGTTGGATTACCTGATTTTTTAAAATTAATAAAAATCAATAAAAATAACTCGGATTCAACAAGCACATAAATTAGCCAGCTCAGATTCAACAAAGCCGCTTGCAGGGTGAACTGCTACATGTGACAAATCAGCAGCCTCTTTCATACTAAAAACACGCCTTATTAGCACGCACACATGGTTTAGTGCATGTTGGAGTCGGATGGGCGGCCAGCACACATGTGACTTGGGGGGGAGGGAGCAAAAGCGGCCCAGGCGTGGAAGTTCAGTAGAGATACAAACACATCATAGATATTTTTTTGCAACTGATCAATATAATAACGATAAGCTAGTCTTAAGAATATTGTAACAACAGGCAAGTTTGACGGAAAGAGAGGTAGAGGCAGACAGAGGGAAAAGATACTGGACAAGATGACAACATGGCTAGGAGCAGCAAGAACAATAGACACCTTTGCTGCAACGCAAGACAGAGTGAAGTGGAGGTCCATGATCGCCCACGCCAGTCAGCAAGGCACCGGATGATGATGATGAGTCTTGACATAGATCTATGCAATGAATTGCGCGCTGGATTGTGGAACCAAACGTTGCTGTATGCAAGGCTCTACACAGCAACACAACTTGTTCAGAGAACAATAAATTATAGATGACAGATAACACAGGTGTGCATTTGACCGAATCAGCCTTTCTGCACAGTGTATGCTTGGTAGAGTTCAGTGTATTTTCCTGGAATTTACCATCATTTCTTCAGTATCAAAGAAAGAAAAGTCCAATACATTATACATAACTTGCTCGGTGCATATAATTGTCTGCACAAAAACCTTATTTTTGCTATAACAAACACTTGGATTCAACTAAATTGAAGACCCGGCCCGACGACTTTGTTGAATCCGAACTCTACTGTATTTCCTCTTCGCACGCAGCGTCAAATCTCTCGATCCTTACCGGGATGCGTGTAAAGGTGGTCAACGAGCTTAGCGCTGTGGTCAAAGCCCTGCCCACACAGAGAGCAGATGTACGGGTTGGGCTGATCGTTGTGCATCTTGCGTCGATGATCCAGCATCTCTTTGCTGTCTTGGAAGGACTGGTCGCAGTAGTCACAATAGGCCAACTCAAACATGTTGTGCTTGTGGAAATGCGATTCATAGGCAAAATTGCGGGTAAATTTCTGCAATAAAAAACAAAGAACTTTCTGATAATTAAAAGAAAAAATCTTTTATTTGATTCCAAACTAACCTAAGGTAGGCCCATTCAAGAATGCTGGGCAGATTACAAGTCACTTCAGAAGATAAGTATCTACGGGTTCAAGAGGCTTTCATCAATACCTTCACAAAGCATGTGAGTTCTATTTAACCACAATAGAAATTCATTACTAACATAAAGGAGGAAGGGGGTGGGGGGTTTATTTAAAATCAAGAGTTTGTAAAAAGTTAAATATGCACAAAATATTAAAATATTTAGATCTGATTCGACAGATATGTCCATAAATGAAAAACAAAATTAATTAAAAATTAAAAAAAAACCCATAAACACAATAAAATAAGAAATGAAAGGAATAATCTGCAGCTAAAAAACACATACTACAGCCTTATTCAGGGGTGCCCTCCAATACTTAAGCATTTCGCTGGTGCCTGTGAGTATGGTACTCAAAATGTCTTTCTGTGATGCCCATTAGAACTTAAAAATGTCTTAACGTATACGAAGAATAAGTAATTCTTGTCCGTGGCACCAACACATAAATGTATCTCAACACTCTGTGCCTTATTGCACCACACCATATATAAACTGAGACAGTAAGAGTTCATCTTATTGCGGACATTATATCAGACAGCACAAACAAAAAAATCTTCGTCACTGTCATACTTTGCCACAAACTTGACACCTGAAAGGACAAGTCTCTTGCTGCTCAGCATTGCCAAGTTTCTGAAGTATGACCTCTCGAGGAAGATGACTAAGGCTGTGAACTTTGAGGTCAAACTTTCGATTAAAAGAAAGACCGCAGCTATCACAGTTACCAACACAGTATCCTGGAGACAAATGTAGACATTTTGTTTTGAAGAGTGCTTGAAAAAAAATTTTTTAAAAATTATTTATACAATTTCGTAATTGACAATCTTCTTACCATTGTCTCTAGTAATGAACAAAGTGTAATGAGCAATATGTTTGTTCAGTTATTACTTTTTTCTCCCCTTACAAACAATCTTTGTCCCTTTCAGCTCAGGAAGTAGGCCTACTGACATTTTTCCCCCCTGGATTTTGAGGTAGTATCATAATATTATGTTCAGCACTTTAAAGAAATTTGGCTAAAGACAGTGCTTGGCTTGAACCTCTTTAACAACCATAAAATGATTTTGGTTGGAAAAAAAAAAATGAAAACCATAGCTCAGATTGGACTAATGTTGACTTGACCTAACAATTAAATTTTCCTCTTTCTTGGCTTATTTTTCCCCACTTGTCTTCTAGTAAGTACATGCACTTTGGACTAAAGAATTTCAAGAACAAATACCTACTCTTGTATAATAGCAATTAAAGCACAAAACAGTTTTAAGCAGATATTTTTGTTTACTCTTTTTCCAGGAATCAGGCAGTGAAGAATTAAAATTTTGTTGCGGTGATTTATTTGACTGTTGAATTACTCCTAAATTACAGTAGTCTCCACCTAAGATCCCACCGCTTACGATCTTGGTTCGCTTAAGATCCCGCTGTTTTAAGAAAACAGAATTTTTACTATACAAAAGTCACCCCTAAGATCCCGTTCTGATCCACTCTGAAGGTCTACATTCAGCTAAAATCCCGCATTTGTGATCATAATTTACGGAACAAACACCCGAGCGGGCACAGCCGATCAACCAAGAGTGAAAAGTTGAGATCAATGAACTGCCCGTCACGTCAAAGATCAACCACTCTCGTGAAAGTGATCACATAAGGGTTGTTAAGCTCGATGAAACAGTACAATGTTTGCCCTAGATACGATCACATCGATGTGTGAACTAACCTACACGTTTGTTTTACCCAAACATGGCACTCGCACCTGAGCTCTCCACCTAAACTTACATCACTTCACTCCAGGTGGGATCACATTGAACTGTGAACTCTTCCCTGACCATTGCAGCAGTTGTCTCTATTCCAGAGTTTGCCAGACAGACTGAATTTTAATTTATGTGGTCACAACGTAAAGGTGCGTAACGACAAAGGCGAGGGAACTTGGTCAGAGAAGGAAAGCTATAAATTTCCGACAGGTAAAGGGAGGGGCAACTGGTTAAGCGTAGATCTTGAGACTCATGATAGGATAATAAGTGAAAATGGCACGTCTCATGCCACTATGCACTGTGATAGGTCATCAAGGTTAACCACTCTTTGCTCCCCATATGTCATAAACCCACCTAGGGGGCACGTCAGTTCATTTTAGAGTGGAAGGAGACCATTTCACAGATTATGAGCCTTAACATGGGTCACCGTAGATTTTTCCCTGAGTTCGTCGGCTAAGATCCCGGTTCGCCTAAGATCCTGGATTTTCCTGGCTCCCGAGCACTGGGACCTTAAGTGGAGACTACTGTATATAAAAAGCAAAAACACTACAAAATTTTAGGGCATCAGTCACCTTCATGAGACCTCAAGTGTCCCAGCAAATCTTCAACAGTAGCAAATACGTCGCCACAAAAAGAGCAGTGATATGGGTTTTCCTCCTCTAAATGCAAAAGGTTTCTGTGTGAGATCAGTTCCTTGGTGGTGGACAGAGTCATGTCACAGAAATCACACACTAAATCCTTCTCTTCCTTGTGCGCATTGTCTAGGTGATTGGTGAGGTAAATTTCATTTCTGTAATTCTGGAAAAAAAATTAAAAAATGAAAAACAACAATCAATAAAGATATTTACACAAAGTTTTCCAGAAGAATTTCAACAGAGCTCGCTTACAATAAGTTTTCTTGAGACAAGTATTGGGAACATATTTTTAAACTTTCCTTGAAGGAGAGACAGTAAAGCATGCTTTAAAGTTTACTTTTATATAAACACCAAAATCCAGTACTGAAAAATTACAATAGGTAGATCCCATTACACGGATCACTCAAAAATTGTCTAAAAGTATGATCATTTTCAATCAGAAGAGCAACTGATATTCACGTCGGTGGAAAAGTTGATTCTGTCATTTAACAATATCAGGGTTCTGTCTGGAAACAGAAGGTACTTGAGGTGAACTCAGCTTTTCTCATCAGGATGAAAGGTGGTACAAGCAGACCGCTTTTTTCGCCATAAATCGAAAGTGCCGAAAAAATCAAAGATTTAAGAGAAAACACAAATGTCATTGAGGACCGAAAGTACTTTCTAGGCCTATTTAATCAGAAAAAAGCCTAAAAAGTGACAAACTTTAACCTATTTGTCATAATCTTAACACTGAGGTTGACCTTTCTACTAATGATCAGCCTTATAGCTCAGATGGTTTACTGGTTTTATTTGCCAGTGTTAATGATACACATGAACTAAACAGTTATGAAACCCTTACATAATAACTTGATAGCATACATTTTCATAAAATATTGAATGATAACGTTAAAGGTTCTACTGTAATAGTGTAAAGTTACTGGATTCAGCACAAAACTTCCCTCAGAAATAAATACCAGTAAAAAAATGTTTTCCTTGACCCAAAGAAATGCAGAACATTGGATCCAATACAGTCTTAAGTAAAAAGATAATGGTAACAGTGAACAATGCTATCACTTACTCTTCCACAGATTTGACACGTAAGCGGAATAACTGCCTGTTCTTTATCTCTTTCTTTCATATGTGAGGTTCTGTGGGTGCTTAAACTTTTCTTACTGTAGAAAAATTTACCACACATTTCACAGAAGTAATCTCGTCTTCCTGCAAAGTAGAAAAAGAAAAAATTACATTACACTGTCCAAACAACTGTCCAAAGCAATAAACAAGTAAATTAACCAAATCAGATAAATAAATAGGCAGTACCCTGCATTTTGAAAAGTCACTTATTATGTCCCTATAATGGCAATTTATTCCAGTTTGTTATACAAAATTGCCACTTCTTTTCAGAACACCAAATACAAATACAGTCAAACCTGAGTGAAACGGCCACCCACATTGTCAAGGAGAAGAGTGGCCGTATAACACAGGTGGCAGTCTTAAGCAGGACTGCTCAAAAGGAAGAAAGTAAATCATTCTCTTCTGAGGTCCAAACCGAGGCTCATCTTAGGCTTTAGACTGTCGTAAGGCGAATTCAAAAGGGTTTTTGTTTTCTTTTGAAAAAAGGGAGTGGATGGTGTAAGAAAGGTTTTTTGTGTTCTTGGTTGTTTTTTTTGGTTAGCTATCTTTTTTGTTGCTGATTTTGTACAAGCGTAAAATAAACGAAATATTATGTAAGTAAGACAATGAAGACTGAGTGTCACGGTAAAACAAACACATGGGTCGCCACCACTCGGAGAACCAGTGACGCTTCTGTCGCAAGTCTCACGTCAACGTCCATAAATACTTTGTTACAGATTAGGTAAACAAACCTGTGACCAGAAACCTCACATACGTAGGTTATGACGGGTCACACTTCCCTCACCAGCAGTTGAAAATTTATTGTTAGGCCTTTCCATTCGTCAACTTCGGTAAACATTCATTGGCGGGACTAATAGAAACAACAGGTGAATCAATTATGACGGCCTGTCCATAGCGTGAGGGGCTGATTCAAAATTTATATCAAAGCGTCGGGCAATGAGTGACCACGCCTGGCTGCCTGAGGCAGGTAAATTTGACAGTGGGTTGATAAAATAAGGTGACTGCAGCCGCGTTGGACAGGTGACCGTTCTACAGAGTTAAATTGTATAGAAAAATAAACAAGGGGGGAAATGGAAAGTGTCCGTATTATACAGGCGGCCGTCATGGCAGGTTCGGCTGAAGCCCTACCTGTCTCATTCATTTTGCTAAAAAAACAAAAAAACAACACCATTCTATCATCACTTGAGGACCCACTTACTGTTGGTTTCATGAGTCATCTTGTGCAATTTCAAGCGATGGGCGCGGCCAAAGCTCCTGTCACAAATGTCACAGACGTATGGACTCTTCTCCATGTGACAAGCCTCATGAGACTGAAGTTGAGACTTGGTGGGGAACTTCTTGTCACATTTGGTACAGGAGAACTCAAACAGGTCATAGTGCTGTCTCATGTGAATCGACAGGTGCTTGCAAACCTTTATTAACACATTGAAAACACATCAAAATTGTAGGAACAGCTTAAACAAACAAGACACAAGAGCATTTTAACAGTTTGAGAAATGAGAGGTTTGTAACTAACATAACACCCCTTTCAACACTGAAGGCTTGTTTAAGAGGAAAGAACCTCGGAATTTACATTTATCCTTAACAGAATGATAAAATGCAGATGCACATTTTTGCTAAAAATATTGATTGCAAAGCACATTAAGCTTGCTGTTGAGCAGGAATTTGGATTATAAAATTGCTAACTATTACACTGGTCTATACGATAATTATTATTATCATCATTGTTATTATTAACCACCCAACTTTAGAAACTCTCTACAGAGTCCAAGTTCAGAAACACTCCATTGGAGATTCAAAGCAGGGTTATCCGCATCAAAACCTAACAAACAAGATGCCATACAATTATGGCCCTTGAAGATGACAGAAAAAGTTCTATGAGGAAAAGCACATAAGACACAAATCAACAAATTGAGCTGAGTAAAAGACAAACGAACAGACTGTCTGAACACACATGAAATGCGCAAACCAGGTTAAGTGTAGATGTTTGTATGCCCTCATTGACACAATTTAATCATTTAGGAAGCGTGTTTCTCATCCAACCTGGGCTGAGAGGGATACAACTTCCCAGCAGAGAGACCGAGATACTTGATAAAAATTTCTCCCCACCTGGGAATTGAACTCTGGTCTCTTGCATGCAACAACAAAGCACATACGGTAATTACTATACCACAGATACTGGTTGAAACCGGGTGAACTTAAACCTTCAATCTATTGTAAAATAGATGAACAAACATCTAAACTGTATACTGTTCATGGACAAAGGGATATTATGAAAAAAAAAATAGTCAAAGCAGCAATAACCAAACAAAGTGGCCTGGCCACTTACCTTGCCACAGACCCAGCACACTCTATTCCTGGCGTGTCTTGTGGAATGGAAAGCCAAAGAGCTGAACAGGCTGAAATTTCTAAAGCAAATTTTGCACTGATGTACTGAGTCCAGTTTGGGTGTGGCTGCAAGAGAGTGAGTCATTAGAGTTAGAGCAAATCTTTCTCTATTTAACTATACACAAGTCAACAAGGAGAAAGAAACTGAGAAGACAAGTTCGCTGCTTAGTTTGAAGAAGAAAATGGGGCACAGACAGCAAATTGATTATAAAATAGCCCTAAAGTTTTAAAAAATGCACTAAGAGCTTGACATGACAAAAAGCCAAAATAAAAGAGCAATGAAATTATCAAAAATGTCTTTGAAGTCTTTGAGTTAGAGACAACGAGAAGAAGGACTACAGCTTACAACAGAATGTACTGTTGACAAAGTATGAACAATTTCACACCTTCTCAGAAAAACCATTATCATTGAAAGAAATGTCAGTAAACGTATTTCAGGATTCACCTTAAATTTGGGATGTGCTGAAAAGCAGGGGAAAAAATAAAGTCAGAATGATAGCATATCCAAGCAAAACAGAAATATATAGGCCCTATATATTTTTTTTTGGTTTGTTTGTTGCTTACCAATGACTTTATTTGCTAAACATTCTACATGAGAATGAAGCTTGTATTCAAACTTTCTTGTGAAACTTTTCCCACAATCCTCACACTGGCTCTCAGCCGTGCCTGAAAGAGAGGGATAAAACAAATTTGTATTATACTAGACATACACATGAAGTATTACATTAGCTCAATATGGCAAATCAAGCATCCATTCAGGGTTGGATGTTTACCACACGGTTGCCTGGCTGCAGGTTAAGATAAAGAGAAAAGTGGCATAATTTAGACTAAGAAATTCATGCATATATATAAAAATAGAAAGATGACAATGAAAGAGTAATGGGATTTCTTCCTCTGATAACAGGGGAGATGGCATATTAACTATACAGAAAGTTTTCAGCTTTTGATAATATAAATCACCCCTACTGATACATATAGTTAATAAAGAGGCATTAACTATGTTTAAACATCTATCAACTTTATGAATGGGCCAGTGTTAGAGGGGGTAAAGGGGGAGTTGGGGGGGGGGGGGAGAACTTAAAAAACTGAAAGGATCTCTGGACTATAATCTCAACCATTTTACCATGCAGTCCAACTCCAAAATCTATCTCACACTACAATGAACCATATCCTTTTGCATTACCAGATCAAGCTAGCGTTATGTGTTTTTTAACCACCAACATTTGATTACATGCAAATATTTGGACAGTCCTTTTTCTTTCCTTTCCGTGTATTGTCTCTCTCTTTGTTATTTTTCTTTTCCTCAAGCACTGAAAGATCATACATGTTTCCAGGCCCCAAAAAGTAGGGACACTTTTTTGGTGTATCTCTTGTTGTGGAAGCCATCTATACCTGGATGCCTTTCAGGAAAGTGCTTTTAGATAGTGCATTGTTGCCACAAACGAACAAGGTGAAAAATATTCTCATCTCAGGAGTAAATAGAACAATCTACAACAACGCTTTTGATAAACATGGTCACAGACCGATACAAAGTTCTCTTGTTAAACCACATGATTTGAATTTGCTACTAAAGAACTGCACGATTAGAGCACATTTTAAATTTTGATAACATCCTGGACGTTCAACCAACTTTAGAATGAAAGCCGAAAAACCTTCTCCCGAATCCCTCAGAAGAAGTAGGACCTACAAATAGAGCCTTCCAACCATCCGCAAACAAATCCCAGCCCACAGGAAGGGGAGAAAAAAAGTTACATTTTTAAAAAAAACTTACAGTTGTTTTTTTTCAAATGCTCGGTGAGTTCGAGCAGTTTGGTGAAGGTCAAGCCACAAGGGACACAGTGGAACGGCTTCACTTCCTCCAGGTGCTTGAAGTTCCTATGAGAGATGAGGTCTTTGGTGGTGGGCAGCACTTCATCACAAAACTCACACACCAGATCCGTTTCTGCACTGTGATTGGACTCAATGTGGTTGGTGAAGAAGATGTTGTCCCTGTATATCTGTCGTGTAAAGAAATGAGAAATAAAAAGGGTTACACATTGAGAATAAGTTGCGATATACTTACACTTAAAGAAAGAAAATTAAGATAAAACCATACAGGTAACATATTCTCAATGATACCACCATTACATCTTTTTTTAATTAAGAGAAAAAGGAAAGCTTTTCCTATCTTAATTCCTATTTCTACATACACAGCAATATGGTAACAGACCACTGTACCTCAAAGGAAATTTACTTCAGTGGTCATATTGGCAAAATAAGGTTAGAAAAAATAATTGTGAAAAATCATTCACAAGCTGGGACACCTTTCCACATATCTGGCAGATGAGAGTGCTTTCCTCTGCTCCCTCTTCCTCCTTGCATTTGTGAGTACTTCTTCCACTGCGGCTGTAAAAGTGTCGGCCACAGGACTTGCATTCATAGCTTGGGGTTCCTGCAAAAATGCCACGGTCATATCTGGATAGGCCATTTCTAAAGTACCAAGCCAGTCACAAGGCTGATATTAGACGGCAAAATCACAACTATCAACAGGTTTCTGAGACAGATTGAGCTACAAGTTTGAATGTGATTATGAAAGTATTGAATCCAAGATGACGGCAAGGTAACTAAAGCAATACTGATACATTTTTTAAAGTTTTTCATTGAAATTTCCTCTGAACGCACCTTTAAGTCCGTAACACATGTTGTAGATTTGATTCAAGTCTCCCTGTAACTTATGACTATCTTCAAGACAATCAATCCACATTATTGAATTTCTAAAACATATCACAGAGTTTTTGTTCTCAAGATTTTACAAGGCATTAGCAACATTGAACTTTAGCATCTTTCTGAGGAGGGGTCGAAGTTCCCATCCCCCTAGAGAAGGAAATTACAATAACACCATTAATTATTCATTCGAAATATCAGTGACGTACGGTGTGCTTGGTGAGTTCGCTTGTGAGCCGTGAGTCCATGGGCCAGCTTGAAGGTCTTATGACAGATGTCACACTCATGGGGTCTCTCTTGCACGTGTTTGGACATTTGGTGCCCGTGCAGCAGATATATCGTAGGGAATATTTTCTCGCATTCACCACAACCAAAATCAAAATCTGTCTCGTGTACTTTCATGTGGATGGACAGGTGTTTACATGTCTGTAGTGGATTAGAAAATTAACCAAACTTATCATGCTTAGCCTGCAAAGATTATAACATATTTTTACAACTTCCAAAAGTAAGAATCAGTTGACACACATTATATCATCATTTCAAGGTAATCACAATTCAAAGTCCCAACCACTTTTGTTTAGCAAACTGCTTGAATCTGTTAGAATCTATGGGCTTTGTTGACAAATAGCAGAAAATCAAAATGAAACGATGTAGTAAACTAGTAATCATTCTGAGTTTTTAATTCATTGAGGTCTTTAGCACTTCAAAAGCATATTCTAATTGCTCGAATTGGATACAAACACAGCATGTGGCAAACACTTGCTTTTTGCACTTTAACTTCTTAAATATTGGTAAACTTTGTAATTATCTGGCAACTAAAGGAAAAAAGAAATTACAATAGAGGTGCGACTTTAATTACAAGATAGCAGACAGACAATATCAATTCAAAATTCAGTTGTTATAACAAAAGAATTAGCAACAAGCTATTTAACTTTGGACTATAAAATGTACTATTATACTGAAAAACACTACTCACCACTCCACATAACCAGCAAGCTTTCTTATCTTTGTGTTTCAAGGCATGACTTGCAAGAACTTGTATAGATGAAAAATATTTTTTACATATTTTGCATTGTACAGGCTTCACTTTTCTGTTAGAGTGCATTTCTTGAGAATGAATTTTCAACTCCAATGCTGACGGGAACATCATTTTACATGGAATGCACTTGCACATTACTGAGGACTTGGTGAAGGGTTTCTCATCTTCTGCCAGGTTGCCGGCAGATTTCAGCGCATCCCCAGTTTCCACATCTGAGTTATAATTCTCTGTTTTCACTTGAGATTTGACGGAGTCCTTCACAGAGGCAAGCCACTCCTCTCTGTGAGAGGCCCAGTGCTCATTCATTTCCAGTAAATCAGTAAATGTCTCTGCGCAAAAGTCACACTTGTATTTGAAAAACTCTGCGTGGTCAAGCAGGTGCGTAGAGATGTTATAATAGGACTGGAAAAAAAGAGAAAAAATGTTACAAATTTACCTTCAGGAGCAAGTGTAGCATATTCCCAAGTTAATGCAATGAAAAACTCCTCATTTCTTAAATTACAATATCATACAGGGTGTGCTGCAAACATTTTAAAGTATGAACACAAAATGTAAAAAAAATACAAGAACATTTTTACAGAATTAATAAGCCTTTAAATTTTTTTTAAAAAGGGAAATAAAGATATGAGCACATGAGTAGGTGATTTCAAAACAATGTTATCAAACTTTTTCAAATAAGCTAGCATGTAAACTATGGCATTACAAAATGGGAACAAGTAAACAAAATATACATCTCTACAACAAAACAGCAAACAACCTACCAATATAATATAATAAAGGAGAACTGGTTTATAATATGACACAAATGAACCTGAATTTTTTCATTGCTTATAAAACTCATTAATTAAGGAAAAAACCAATAAAGTCATTAGCATGACATTTCTCTCTAAGTTACTAATCCACAGACACTGTACAAGAACAATACTATTTATACACATGAAAAGTGTTTCTTAAATTTTTTAAAGAATGACTTATCTTTTTGAGAATAACCTCTGTAGTAATGTACATGATAATATGGTATGGGTTTCACACTCCTTTCAACTCTTCAAGTGTTTTTTTAAAGGCAATTTAATGTCCATCTCTGATGGGACAGAATCAAAAGGATGGAAAGCCTTGAAATGCTCTACAAGTAAAACTCAAGTAAAAAGCTGTTTAGGTACCAGCCAAGGTCATCTGCATCAAAGCAAACTAAGTTACAAACTGAATTTATGAATTGACCTTCTGGGAAAACTAGTAAAAGCAAACTGTGCACACCCCAATATAGCCAGAGCACATCACACATGCATGTAATATAATAAACAAATAAACATAAACTCACCTCCTCGCAAATCCAACAGCTTATTTTCTCCATCTCCGTATTACTTTGGTGGGAAGACACATGATTCGCCAAGCCCTTAAGAGCCACAAAACTTTTCTTGCAAATGCCACACTGGAGAGGATCTGTCGTCATGTGGGTGCGTAGATGAAGCTGTAGACCGGTGCATCGAGTGAATGACATACTGCACAGCTCACACCTGTTACCTGGTTTGTTCTTTTTTGGTGCTGGAGTTCTCCTTTGTGGAAGACTTTCTGCACTTGATCTGACAGACTTCTGAGACGACCCAGGTGGCCTCCCCCTCCTTTTCTTTGTACTCGCTGGCTGCTGTTTCTTTTTTTCTGAGTGAGTGTAATCTTCATCTTCTGAATCAAAATCCTCATCATTATCATCATCATACAACTTTTTAAAGTTCTTAATCTTCCTTATTCTACGGCTTTTCCTGACACCTGTCTGTTCACCACTATTATCTTCTTCTTCTGGTTTTGGTTCCTTGCTTGTCGTTGGCAATGTGATATCAGTTTTCGCTGTTTTCCTTTTGCTCTGTTGTTCTTCTATTTGAATTCCTAGACGGTCTATGTCCTCTGAAGTTACTACTGTCTGTGAACATTGGCTATTGAATTTATTTGCTTCACTTCTTTCTGTAATAGTTTCAGTTTTTCCTCCAGAGTGGTCTGGAATATCTGAGTGTGTCTGCAAGAATTTCACAACATCACATATCACATTTAACGATGACAGATTTGATTCATACTGTAAACTTTCATGCAAGAGATCCAAAAACTGTGATGCCCCTTGCACAAGGCGAGATAAAAACAGCTCTCTGTTAAAGGATGACTGTTCAGGAGCGGGAACCACAGCCCAATTTTCATCCATTTTTCTTGTCTTTAACTAGAACAGATCTGGGGGAAGAAAAAATAAAATAAAATGAAGACTTTAAATGGTCGTTTTTAAGGACAAGCGGGCTAATCCAGATTTCGGGGGTTTCCAGAAATCTTGACCTACACCAAAAGTGGGTATTGCCCTCGTATACCTATAGGAGAAATTATTTGTTTTTATTGGTGTGTATATATAGTTGTTTGGTTATAGAGAAAACTTTCCTTGTCTTTTAAAGACACTGAACGAGGGGCAAAACTTTACCTTCGATTTTCACAAAACAGGGTTTTTCGGGATAGCCCCTTTGTACTTAAAATAAAGTTAAAAGCGACCAAATAGAGGTAACCAACAAAAATCTCTTTTTATATCAACACACTTGGAAAGTACAGCTCTTAATCAAACTTTCAAAGTGAAGAAAATTGATGCAACTGATTTCTTTTGAACTTTTAAGGACACCATCACCACCACCCCATCATCCCCCAAAGAGAAGAAAATAGAATGCAGCTGAGGTCTTTTGAATCATAGCCACCCTCTCCCCATAAGTGAAGAATGGATGGAACTGAGACATGTTCAATTGAGGACACCACCGCTACACCTCCCCCCACACAATCACCAATTTATGTAGGCCTACCACCACCTGAGTTTACTGGGATAGATTTTTCTATATCCATGTCCATAAGGTTTAGGCTTTTTCTATAGTTCCCACCCCCCTTATTTTAAGCTTATTTCGATGCGCAGCGAACTAAGATATATATATCAAACCTAACAACTGCAAAACTTCAAATTAGGCCTACGGTCAAATTCAGGGGGGCATGTCCCTCTGGAAATGCCCCAACATATTTTTATTTGGCCTACGAGGGGCTTTGGAGTATGATTCTGTCCTGATCTGCAATATCGGCCTAATGAGAAGGTAGCTAAGTATGATAAAAAGCTAAAGTAGACTTAGATCTAGATCTAGAAGTAGAAGTACCGTAGTATCTGTGAGTAGAGGGTTGCAACCATAAGACATAAGAACCTCAAAACAGACAGATCTTGCCTTTGTTGTCATTACTTTTGGTACCGTAGGCCTACTGAATCGGCCCTCTCATACCCTCACCCCAACGCATTTTTGCTTTTATTTTTTTTGTGTGCTCTTGTTTTACTTTACCATTTTGGCTTGGCCTTCAGTTGAGTAAATTTTAGTTCAATAAGCAAGCCGCTCGTCTCGTCACAGCAAGTAGCAAGACGTTCGATTAAAATTACATAACCATCAGTTCGCAATGATTCCAACTCCCCCCGGCTAAATTCCGTGTCAAGCCGGTCGACACAAAAAACACGGATTAATTATTGATCTAGAATCTAGATCTAGACTTAGATCTAGATCTAGATTTAGATCTAGAAATCTAGATCCAAAAGTATCTAGATTCTAGATTCTATATATAATCTATTTTTAGACTGCTCCTATCCTCAGTCTTGTTGACAGTCTCTCTCTTATTTTTTGCCTGCCCTATGGTATAAATCTAAAGATCTAGAATCTAGATCTACATCTAGATCTAGACTCTAGATTGGAAAAAAAATACGGACCGCAGAATTCACATAAAACAATTGATAGTGACGTATCGTATCAAGTAAACACACTTACCAAACTGTAAATGCGCACATCTTCGGAACGTAAACAAGTTGGCTGAGTTAGGCAAATGGACGCCACTGCTAACGCTTTGAACTTGAGGCTGCAAACGAAGGCGATGAATGTGAATATCGAATAATTCACAAGGGTACTCGAGTTTGTTTTTTTCCTGATTGCTTGTTGCACACTCCCCTCTGAGACAAACGTAATTAATTGGTTAGTGTTTGAAAACGGTCTAATCTAAAGTCAATCTATTCTTTTTGAATATCAATAATACTTGTGTAGCGTATGATATGATTCAAGAGCTTTTCAACGTATGCCTCTCTTAACGATTTCACAGGTATCGTATTTGCTAGTATTATCGATATAACCCAGAGGTTGCTCGTTTATGACCTATTTAGCAAACGTTTTGCCCGAGCTTGTCGACACGGCCTTGGGCGTGACATCGTTTCTCCACTTCCCGTTACGGTACTGAGCTTCTCGTTTTTGGCCAAATTCCGACAGACGCTTTGAGCAATTTATAAATTACGGATAGAATAGAGTACAATTCTTTTGCTAACAGTTCCCTTTGGATATCACGAGCATAAGAAATAATCTGTTGAAAATATCGTTGAGCAAAAGAGGAGCCCTGTAGAATTTCGAGAGTCGATAGGCGGAGATCAAGTCTTTTTATCCAAATGTATTGGGCCTATAGGCCTACATGTTCATATACATGTACAAGACTATATTAAGCTATGGAGTAATGCTGTTGATGGCCTGTGCTCCACTGGGAGTTAAAAGGGGCAAGATATATAAATATATATATATATATATATATATATATATATATATATATATATATATAGGATATATATATTAAGCTATATAATAATGTTTTTCACCTTCAACTTCTGAGAAGAAACTCTAAAGAGAGAGGGATTCGAAACATGAGTTTCAAGGGGGGGGGGGGGGGGCATGAAGAATCAATAGGCCCTGTAACGATTGCTTTTCATAAATGACTGGGCTCCTGAGGTAGTTCCTGTGTGCAGTCTATTGACATCGGATCAATAATTTGGCATCACTGCAAAAACATAGCAAGTTGTCGATAAGTTCTCCAATACACCTCAATCCTGGGCCAGTTTCTCCGGCTAGGCCTCAGTCGTAAAATGCGAGCGAAGCACTGTTCCAGGCCCACGTTATGATCCTTTTCTACTTGTCGAGGTTCGATCGGAACGGAACTGTGACAATCTTTCGTCCATGTTCGTCCCATCCAAATACGGCTCTCCAAGCAGTCGAGGACAACAGGCCACTCCTGTGTGTGTGGTGCTTTAGGAGGTTAATTATAGTCTAATACTCGGCGAGTGTCCACTGTGGGTGGGATCGACGGGTCGGGCTGATCGCCCAACTCGGTCGCCTGAAAACAAACGAGTTTGTTTTTGAGGCAACGAATCGGGCGATCAAACGCGTACGGGGTACCCACTACGGATGAGACCGGCCGAAAGGGCCGATCGCCCGACTCGATCGCCTCATAAACAAACGTGTTTGTTTTCAGTTTCAGGCGACCGAGTCGTGCGATCGGCCCGATGCGGCCCGTAAAGCCCCGATTCGAGTCGCCCCCGACCCGACCCGACCCAACCCAATCGCATTGGGCACCCCGTATATATAAACTAGTCAACAAAAGTTAAGGAACGTACTGTAAAAAAAAGTGATATATTTGTATGCATTCTTTCGAGGTTTTACTTTTACTCGTAAAACTAGATATTGGTGAAATGTTACTCTCTGACTAATGGGATCGTACACACCAGGGTTTGAAGTGCACGTGACTCCTGTGCTATGAGCTGGGGAGGGGGCAAAAAGGTCCAATATTTTCCAATTATCGATTTTTATTCTCTAGCTCTTACAGTCAGAAAAAAATTATGAACGTTCAAAAATCAGTTTCCAATTGCAAGATTCATGTCTCGTGAGTGACTTGCACTCGCTCATTTGCACTGTGGATACACCATTCTGCTTCTGTAGGGCTAAGCATAAACATGCCTCCTCGACAGAAATTGTCTGATGTAAACAGAGGACGAGCCATTGCTTAGGTACAAGATGGTGTTTCACTCCGACAAGTTGCTACACGTCTTCGAGTGTCCGTTTCTGTCATTTCACGGCTGATTCAACGTGCCAACGCCACTGGTAGTGCCCAAGAGCGACCCAGATCAGGTCGACCAAGAGCCACTAATGCAAGGGAAACATAAACAGGCTCCGCAGTCGAGATCCGCTCCAGAAAATCACATCAGGACACGGCTGAGAGCGGCAACTCGTGTTAACATTAGTTGTCAGACAATACGAAGACGTCTTCATGAGTTTGGATTTAATGCACGTCGACCAGCAGTCCGCCAGCGTCTCACCCCAGCACACAGGACTGCTCGTCTTGCCTTTTGGCGACGCCAAGTAAGATGGACACGTCAACAGTGGGCAAATGTTCTCTTCAGCGACGAGTCCCGGTTCTCTATGCATCACAATGACGGCCGTATCAGGGTTTGGAGGCGACCCGGAGAGCGGCTCCTCTATGAAGCCGTCAGAGAAGTGATGCCTTTTGGAGGTGGTTCCGTGATGGTATGGGGTGCTTTCAGTCTGAACCACAGAACACCTCTGTACCAAGTGCAAGGGAATCTCACTGCAATACGTTACCGAAATGAGATACTCCGTCCATTAGCACTACCCACTCTGCAGCAGATGGGGCCACATGCAGTGTACCAGGATGACAACGCCCGACCTCATAGAGCGTTGCTTGTCCAAAACTTCATGCAGCAGGCTGGCATCAACCGAATGGACTGGCCGGCCTGCAATCCGGACTTGAATCCCATAGAAAACCTCTGGGATGAGCTGCAACGTCGAGTCAGAGACAACCACACCCCTCCAGGAGACGCGCAGCAACTGTTTCAGATGCTGTAGGCAGAGTGACAGGGGACGCCTCAGAGAGTATTCACCAACCTCATGAACTCGATGAGGAGCCGGTGTACTAAGTGCCAGGACAAATGTGGTGGGCATACTCATTATTGAAATAATCTGAACTGTTTTGTTTTTGTTGCAGTCAGAAGTTAAAATAACTTCGAAACCGCTTGACAATTTTTGGGATTTGGGATTTTAACCCCTACCAAACTCGATTAACTTTTCAAGCAAGTTAAAATGGAATAACTTAATTTTCTTTTTTGGTACTTGCTATACACATGTTGATTAAAAAGTGTACCAAATCCCATTGCGTGTTGAAGTTTTCTTTCGAAGTTATACACTTTTTCTCAAATGTTCCTTAATTTTTGTTGACTGGTTTATATATATAGGTCCTTGGTGGCGCGTCATCAGCATCCCTGTGGCCCGGAAACAGCAGTAATTATAATCCTCCGATGGGCGACCTCGAGGATATATTATATTTTTGGATGCCTTGGGGTGACCTCCTTTGATCAGAATTTTTAAGTAGTCTTTCTCGTCTCGCTGATCCTCAAGACGGTGGGGGTGAAGATCTAGCTCCTCAGTCGTCTCTGCAACACTTTTGCGCTGTTTTCCCAGTTTCAAACCTGGTTCTGATGTTCTAAGCTCCGATAATATATGCTAGTAATCCTGGTGGAGATTGTGGTCTTAAAGTTGAGATCACCGTAAAACTTTCACTAAACTAAGATAAATGATGGCGGTTGGCCTGGCAGTTTCCAGAACCTGGCTTTCACTACGCATGAACCTGACTTCATTAGCTCTCCTACTAAAGATTGTCTCTCATGTAAGCTTACAAAAATATGCCATTTGATACTCTCGTTAGCGTTTCTGCAGCTTGGGTTGCTTTATGTGCAGGGGTTGCTTTATGTGCAGGGGTAGCTGTTCACTCACTCAACCTTTCTCCTTTCTCAGCCGGGCCGTCCTTGGCGGAGTTATGTCATAGTTATGGTACTGCAATTTAGTATATGTACAAACCAAGTTAAAGCTGTATAACACCTGTGTACTATCCACACTCCTATATGGAGCTGAATGCTGGAGGATGACTGATCATGACCGTGCCAAGCTATCTTCCTTTCATACAACCAGCTTACGCCAAATCCTCCGAATCTTCTGGCCCGACAAGATTTCCAACGCAGATCTGTTACGAAAATGTAGGCAAGAGGACATGGCCACCATAATAAAAAGGAGAAAATGGAGATGGATTGGACATGTTCTGAGAACAGAACCAGACTCTATTGTGAAGACTGCCCTCTAATGGACACCCGAAGGACATAGCAAGAGTGTCCCCGTTGGATTATGCGATTGTGCGGCCACGACGCGGCCGCGTTTTTTCGCGTTATTCTGCAACATTTGCATAAATTTGGATTATCCGCGTTTTTTTCACGTTTTTTCCCTTTTTTCACAAAACAATTAATTAACGTCTCGCCATGTGACTAAAGGGACGTAATCACCGTAATAATTCTCATTTAAGTGAAAAGTTGGTTATTTCCCTTTGAAGATCTTGGTAATGGCATTGGTTATGGGTTGTAATTTTGTACCTTCAGCGTGTTCAATTTTTCAATCTATAAAAAGTTATTGTTCTCATGTCTGCTAATGTTTCATGTTTGACAGGTGTCCCTGGTTTTAGTACATGTAATGTGCCAGCACCAGAGGTCCAGATGTCCTATTAAAAAAACAACATTTTTCTTTCCTCTATTATCTATAGATCTAGATCTAGGTCTGCAGCTGAAAGTTACAGATATTATTATTATTATTATTTTTTTCTTTCTGTTGTTGTTGTACTGATGTGTATTGTTTTCTTTTCCAAAGACACAATAAATTACTGATACTGATATGTTCTGTTTTCAATTTTTCTGTACATAAAACATAGGGCACACTTCCCTCCTTGACAAATAGCTATGAAAAAGGGTGAGCGAAATAAAAGTAAAAAATTGCAAATACAATTTCCAGCCATCCGTCACATGCGACATGGTATAATCAACAACAATACGGTATGGGTTTAGCGTCCTTGTAAACACCAAAATAAAAAAGGGTTATTTAAGAGGCAGGATCTCCAGATACATCACATCCACCTCCAGTAGAACCGAGCAAAGCGGCTGGAAAGCTTTGACATTCACTTATACATTTTCTGTCCTCTTACACTTAGGCCTACACAGCGATGTGTTTGTGTGTGTGTGTGTGTGTGGTCGTCATATTGTGCTTTTGAAAAGTCTCTTTGACTTCATCGATCCATCCTTTTCTTGGTTTGCCCATTGCCTTGAAGTCATCGAATTGTATAGTAAATAGCCTTAGGGTCTGGATATCATGGCCTCATTTTCATAAAAGGTACGTGTCCTTTGACCCCCCACCCCATAACAAGTCAAGGTCAAGAACGCCAAGGGGAGTCGAGCCACAGTGACCAGCCTGTGGCCCAGCATGATGACAGATGTACCAACTGCGCTATCACTGCGTCCTAGCAATAACGAACCTCTTATACTCATATACATGTAATAAGATTAAGATAAGGCTTGGTTTGTGCAGGGCAATCAAGAAGCATAAACAAAGGTGCACTAATGACGACACTTAACACCTCTACTAATCTTCGGCACGCACATGACCTTAGTGTTGTAAGTGCAGTAAAACGAAAGATTTCGAACTCAAAGTTCTTTTGAAGACAAGGATGATTACTGTGACCATACATAGATGATAGAATTACACACCTGAGACAACAAGGAGTAAAGCCTTGATTAAATACTCCCCAGGCAACCATGTAAAGCAAAGACTTTATATCAAAGTCCCAGTTGCCTGAACTGTCTTCTGTAAGTTGTACATACTGTAATAATAGGTGTCACAACACAAAATCTGTCCTTGGTGTAGACAGAACAAGAGAGCCAGCCTTTCTCCATTGGACTTTTCTTCCAGAGCAAGTCATTGCATACACATTTATGACTAAAAATTCTTGGTCTCTCTGTAACTCTTATGCAATACTGTTACACTAAAACAATTTTATCGTCACTATGTATTTTTAAAAGCTATTAATATTATCATCAACTCCAATGCATCTTATAGCTTTCATTTATAAATATTTTATTTTCACAAATTTTCAGGATCTATTTGCAGGGTATCATCATCATGGTAAACCGAATGAACAAAACTGAAAGATCCGTGGTTTCCAGAACAAGAGGGAACATGCAGCTTGCTACAGGGAGGGAGGGGAGGAGAGAGGGAGAGGGAGAGGGAGAGGGAGAGAGAGAGAGAGAGAGAGAGAGAGAGAGACAGACACGCAAACAGAAGGATTAGGTAGAGAGCAAGCTAGACAACAGAAAATGGAAAGATAGAATTGTCTGGGACGTAAATATTCGTGGCTGGATTAGTTGGAAGAGAAATGAAATGACAAAAACCAAATACACAATGTACACGTATAGAAGAGACAAAAACTGAATAATGAAATTGCCAACGACGGCGAACTTTGAAGACATATGGCTAAAGAGCTTACATTATTTATTGTCCTGCATTGGAACAGAGAAGAGGGTTGCCGCTGTGGAAACAGTTGCTGTGTACGCGTCGGTGAGCCGAGGGCCGGTCTAATTATTTCGATTCACCGTACGGTTGTTGTTTCGGTTGTTTGTTTTTTTGTTGTTGTTCAAGTTTATTTATTTATCTGTTTAAAATATCGAGTTTTCTGTAGAATATTTGAGAGTAATCTGGTAATCAGAGCGCCTGCCACCAGTCGAATGTGTGTCCGTTAAGTTCTTGTGCGTGTAAATTATCAGTGGGCTGTCGACGTCTCCGGATGAGAGGTTTGTGTGGAGTGGCTGACTGCGACATTTGGACAACTGCGACTGTCGTTGCAGTATTGATAACGGCTTGAACAGCAGCTGCAAACGACAAATAAATGTTAACACCCCCC